TTTCATTCTTCATTAAGCCATGTTCAAACCCACTCAATACACCATCACTCACACCTAGACCCACATCCAAATCAACAGATATCAATATACATATAGATTGAAATTAAGAGTCTTAATATATCTCTAACTTTCACTAACATAACCATGACAAATAGTAGTTAACGCTTGAGCGAATATCAAAAAATAAAAAACGGATGCAAAGTATCTCAGAAAAAAGAAAATAAAGTATATACCGATAAGAGGGTGTGGATTGAGGATAAATGAAGCACTAAAACGCATATCCACATTCTAGTCGAATTCAATATATTTGATGATCAAGACTTACATAATTAGAGTAATTATTGATCATATATAATACATACGTTATAGTGTTAGGATCTGTTTTTAGAGTTAGATGACGAAACTTATTTATTTTTTCAAAACGAAAACTGCACACACACAGATAACAACAACTACATAAACCGGATAAGAAAAAACAAACTATTCCTCATAACTATATGAAAAGAAAGGATCTTTCATCTATATATACAGATGGTGATCCTGACAGTTAGCGCTTCCTAGTTTAATTCTTTTGATTTCGATTGTGGTGGTGAAACAGCAGATATAAAGTTTCTTTTATTGCTGTTCTACTTGTAATTTGGAGAATGGTACAACTGTCTTAATCAGATTTTCAACGAATAAAGTGAGGTACAGGATGGCTGTCGAATATTTAGTCGAAATTGTGATGCGACGATACGGTGATGCTTTACACATAAGAAAGTGGGTAATTGATGATTAGTACAATTTATTGTTTTGCCGCAAGACATTCGTATAATAGATGATCCTTTGACTATTATTTTTTTAGGTAATTTATTTGACGTCGAATATACAGTTGACAGTATTGTGATCAACACATATTGGTAAAGGACTAAATCCCGTTGCTAAAATCAATTACATTTGAATCTCATATTTGCGACTAACTGATAGGGATTAAGTAGTTCTGATATACATAGTACTTTTGATAGCAGTACTAAAACAGATGACAGTGCATATTGACTAATATTATATTCATTATTCCACGTAATTGACGTTTGATCAAGCTAATTGATTGCAACTATTTTAGGTAGATTAGAATAAATGTGTTTAGTTCCATTAGAAATACTTGTCAAAGAAATAAAACGATAATTTGTGTACCGTTGAATGGAGTTTGTACAAATACAATTAAGATGATTAAATATAGTTGATGTGGTAACAAATTCTGTTGGCTTAATGCACAATAACGTGAAGTATAAATGGACTGCCCAATAACAAGTTGAGTGAAAGAGTATAATATTGTTTTAACTATATAATTGAGAAAAGGCAGTGTTTATCTTTTGAAGAATGAGTGATAAACAGAATTTTAAATCAGAATTATATAAACATTTGAAACCATCTTTATTGATTTGTATTGGTTCTATAATTATCTCTGCTGAGGTTGGATACGTAATCATAAAATCGAAATAGTTATCAACAGCGGTCGTGGGCGATGTTAATAATAACCCCATTTTTGTTGTTATTTTTCTAAATCAAGTTGATCATCAACGACATGAACGATTGCTTTGTTATCTCGAATAATTTCATCTAGACAATGCCGAATAAGAATTCGACTGATATATTATCTTAACATTAAGAGAAGGTAATATATAAATTATATCATGAGATTTCATTATAATAGCATGTTCCAACATTTTTGCTCGTTTTATTTGTGAGATATACAAACAAACTTGTGTATTTACCGATTCAATGCAAAGATTATTGAGTGATACAAATTTGTAAACGATTTATCGTATAATATTTGATGACTATTTGAGTACGTTGAAGAGTATACCCTTTTGTATTAGCGATAATGATGATGTCATTGGTTGATAACTGTTGCATTGATAGAAGCGAAACAGTTTTAATACAAGTTATTGTTAAAAAACTGCTAGAACAAGAAAAGATGACAAGCAATTGATAGAGAGAAGAGTAAAACACAGCTAGAAACAGAGAAAACTAAAACATATAGGGTAAACTCTCAAAAAAATCGTGTAAGAATAGAGAGAAACAGGTTACGAGGTAATTTAAGACAAACAGTTAAAGTCTGAATATTCAGCACTGTCTTTTTATTTCATTGTACAATATAGAAGATAAAATATTTTAATCTATTCACCCATATTTTTACACCTACTTTGTTTTGTGGTGTATTTGCCGTTATGATCGCAAGTGCTACCGGGTTGTTGATGCATATAGGTAAAGTTTATGTGCTGCAATAACCGTAATATCTTTTATATCATCGATAAAAGCTTGTTTTAATTCTTCTGGACAAACCAATTTCAAATCGCTAAGATGTTCAAGTGAATAGGAATTTTTCTGATCTACCTAATGGACAAGTCAGTTTAAATGTGATATTTTAATCGTTTTTCATTTTTTCGACAATCAAACATAATAAAATTTAAGCATCACTAATGTTTCTATCAACTATATGAATCTTAGCATCAACACAAGTCTTTACATTAAATTTATTTGTTTCACTCATTACACTATATTGATATTGCATTATTTTATTATTTGGCACATTTAAATAATTATCGATTGTTAGTTTTGGTATAGGATCATGTTTCAGCATTTGAGTGTTTCATTTATCCTTAATCCACATCCTTATTTAAATGAGACTAAAATCAATATTAATTTTACTATTTTTTGCTTCCATATCGTATTAGTTGATAGAATTATTTATTTGGTATTTTCATATGAATCTATTTTCTTAATAAATCTAATAAATGAATCAATGCTGTATTTTACAAACAAATCAAGTTCTATTATTAAAAGCATTTGTTACAAAGTATATGAATAAAATGATTTTGATAGCTTTTAAAGTTTTTCAGTGTAAAATTGAATATTATAATTAGATAATATTATCTATGAATCTTTTTCATCATCACAAACGTCATTTCCTAAGCAATCAAGCTTAGAATTTCTTAGGTAAGTTTTGTGTCGATGCAATTAGTAAGGAAGTAAAGTAAGTTGTTATGATATAGTATTACTAAAATAACAACTACCTTCATCTTTTAATGTACGTTTCAAAATATAGTTATCTGAAGATAACATTAAATTCAAATTCTTTTTGATGATATGACCTCAGATTGTCTTTTATATCTATGTGACGGATATACGATGACATGAAAACCAATACTTAAATGGGTGTTGTTTTCTTTCGTACCTAATTGTATAATTTGAAGTAGAAAAAAAAGTGTGAATTTCCCTATTTCTAATTGAAAAGCAGCATAGAATCTAAGAGTAGGCGTAAATAAGATGTAATGTTAAGAATTATACTTCTAGGTATATAATTTATTAACGTATGTTCTGTTTACGAGAACAGCTAGAGTTGAGTTTAGAAAGAATAAAAGTTCCGTCTAGAAAAGAAACATATATATGACTTCCGGAATTGTCTAGATACATACTGAACTCTTAGAAACTCTGCCTAATGTATATTAATGCCAGTGAGTCGATTGATTTTTGTTTTCAGATATTTAAATAAAATTGAAATATGAAAATAATCTATCGCATAAAAAAGTGTATTGTATAAGCTCATATATCAAAATTTTCCTAATCTACATTCAAACAATGTCGAGTAGTTTTATATCAATACTACGTTTTTTCCAGGCAAATGAAACGAAGATGTATAAAACTCGCAGTATGAAGTCTACCATTTTCATATATGCACATCCTTTCTTTCATATTCATTAAAAAAATCATGCTCTTCTACGGAAAATAATTATTTTTTTGATAGTCATTATATAAAATATATATATCTAATGATACATTTGTCCTTGATGCATCCTATATATTTGTTTATACTCTTTGAACACCCGCCTGTGATAAACAAAAAAACATAAAAAACAAAATGAATATTTAATTTGAGTATATAAAAATTTTGAAATAAATGTTATTAAATAGTATTGAAGTTGATTAAACAAACAAGTTTGTTCTATGAATATTCATATCTTCTAAGTAGATTCAAAAGCTACTTATTTTTTCTATCACAAGATCAAAGTAATAGAACGCCCACTTTCCAATTTATAAGATTTTCATTACAAACCTATCCCTTTAATCGTATGAAAAAAACAAAAATATTAGTCATGATAAAAACAAGTTTAATGCTTCGGTAAATGTGCATCAACTGAAAGAAACATGTCTATTTGATGAGATTTATCAAAGCGAAAAGAACGTGAAATGAAATATTTATTTTATGAAGGCGATACAAAGTATAATTAACACTCTTTGTATACTTTCACCATATTTTGATTTACATAAGTGTAGATATTTATTCAGTACACACACATGTACTATAAGTATTTTGGTGAACGTGAACTAAGCAACAATAAATACTAGAATATTACATCAAATTGTTATTATTTTTATTCATAAGATCATTATTAAAATATATCTTGCATTGTTTTAAGATAGTTCTATTAATATAATAATAAAAACTTATGCCTTTCTAGAAATTAAATTTTCCCTAGATATTTCTCTAACTTATTTTTGCGTACTTGATTACCTTGACAAGCAACATATCCAGAACATTCTCTTAGGTTTTTCTATTTATGGTTCTCTCAGTACGACGATGTTCTTCTAAAAAGTATATTTTCTGTATCAAAAAATTATATTTCCAAAAAATAAATTGATGTTTTAAATTTCTTTATAATATATCCTTTTTCTTGCAAATGATGACCTTCTAAAAGAATTCTCATGTTTTTCAGGTCGAAAAATAATGAGACAATTAGATTTGTTTGTGATTTTATCGTATACCACGCATGACTTCTTTGAAAAAAACTGAGATCAAAGACTAACGTCATTGTATATCACGGTCGGAAAGATAAATTGAATAGACATTGTTTATTTTCAAGGACGAATATAAAAGCAAAAGTTCCGAAATGTATTATCTTAAGATAAAAAGAAAAAAAAATGTCTGTTTAAATAAAATTAACGATTAAAATTTTAAAAAAGAAATAGTTTTTTTTCATAGTTTATGTAAATTAATTCCATCGGCAGTTGATATAACTAATATATTTGCACCAAGCGTTGCAGCACATGAAGGTGATGGATTATAATCACATGTTAATTTTAATTTACCATCACTTGATATATGAAAAAGATTGGATGTATTCCAATCAACAACAAGCCATTCATCATGATTAAGTAAACAACAACGTATTGTACGTGAATCATAATCAATATCAAGATCAAGTGACCATATTCGATCAAATGTTGTTGCTAAACGTAATTCAATTGTTTTTGATTTTGTTGCACGATTATAAATCATTAAAGCTAATTTTTCTTTATTATATATTATATTATTTATTGTTTCATCTTGACTACATGCTTGGGGTGGTTGCCAACGTTTTGTAAGTTGTATTGATGGCCATAATGTAAATTGATATACATTTGAACCCCAATCTTTTGTTGTAATATATAAACTTGTATCTGAACATGTACATGACCACCAAGGTAATTTAGAAAATTTTTGTACACGTACTACTGACATTGTACTTTCATCAATAAGATATAAATAACTTCGTGTTAAAACAAGAAAACGTGCTAATGTTGATGACCAACAAATATCCATAATAGAACCGAATGTCCATGATTTGTCTTTAATCATATTTAATTCTTTATCTAACAAGCATAGACTTGAATCATTATGTACAAGTAAATGATGTTCATTAGCACATACAATTTTTGAACTTTCATCAAGATAATTTATTGTTTTAATAGGTGGTGATATGATAGGTGAATGGGATAAATCATTTGTTTCTTGAATTTGAATTAAATTTTCTTTAATTTCTATTGTACGAATATTAAGTTGAAGATATTTTTCTTTTGTTGCATCCATTTCTTGTTCAAGTTGATGTGCAATTGTTATTATATGATTAATATCTTTTTGTACAGCATCTTGTTTATGATTAAGAGTAGCTATACTTGATCGTATACGATTTATTTCTTTACGTTGTTTATCAACAATTCCAGCAACATGTCGATCTACTTCTCGACATTTCTGTTCATAATATCGATCAATTGTATGATAACAATCTAAACGCCATTTACCAAGTTTTTGCCGAACATCACTCATCATAAGATCAATATTTGATGTTGTTAATCGATCATTGAGTGAATTAATTCGATCAGCTAAATCATTTAATGAATTATCATATTCATTATATTGTTCATCGGATAAATCACATGTTCCTGTATGTTTATATGTCGACATCATAGTACACGATTGAGACATAAATGTTGAGTAAATGAAAAAAACACGATATAACTCCTGCTGACGATAATTGTTAACAAAGAGTGAAAGAAAAAAGAAATGATAGAGATAAAAAAGGTTCTTTAGTTTTTTTCCACAAGGATAATTAGAGTGCGCAGGCAGGGAAGAAATTTTTTTTTCTTTTTTCTTTTTTTTCTCCTTCTTCTTTAGTTTATTAGCTAAGACGGCAAGTCAGAAACCGATGTACTATATACCAATAACTCATTTAAAAGCTGTTCATTTAAAAGTACAGAGTATATACACCTTGAAAAACTAATTTGATAATTAAAAATTAGATTTATTCATATTAACAATCTGTTAGATATCCTTGAGAATTATTTATTTTTGTTACAAAATCTAAAAATAAAATCAATAGTTGATAGTATATCTAGAATTGAATGACTATTTTGAACAATCAAGTTTTGTTCTATTTTCAGCTCCTCAATTTGGTATATTTTCCATAAATAAATATAAAATCTGTTATATTCTGATAGCTCACAGACGAAACCATTTACTAAATTAAATTTTTTTTGTAGCTTCTTATAGAAAATACTTCTTTTGTTCATTGATAAATTGCTATTATGTTTTCATAAGAAATCTGTTTTTTTTGCTTTTTTTTAATCCTAAAAACTTATTTTTCTTACTGTCAAATTCATGATTTACTTAATTAATTCTAAATTTGGGAACTGAATGAGTTTTTAAATATAGATCTGGCTAAAGTGTATGTCTTGTGGGCTTAATGTAAAATTCTAATTTTATTTAAAATTGGTTTTCATTATTAAGCGCCTTATGACAAGGTCATTTCTTATGATAATGAAATGAACTTACCTGAAGCATCTTGATGATATTTGCATCTGACAGCATTATCTAATCTTAGTCTAGAAATTTCTATTATGTCTCTGGATAACTCTTGCTAATATTTCATTATAAAACGCTTGTTCTTTCATATAAATGACTGCTGAATCTCTGGTTATAGTCAGTATTGTACAATATTGAATTGTATAGAAAATAAAAATCGTTAATTAGAATCACATGTTCAAGTAATGACCTGAGATATTAATAATAGTATGTTGTAGACGCTAATCAATATTATTTTTAAAACTGTCAGTTTAATAAATTCTGTCATAGTCCACCTTGTTCTTTATTAAAATGTGGCGCTGACTATGTGTATGTACATGACAGATATATTAATTCTCTTTTCTATATGATAATCACCTGATAAGTAGTTCAAATTCATCACGTTCTCAAAGTTTTCTCAGTGCTCAACTGTAATAATTCATCCATATAATTTCATACTTATAACTCTTATCTTAAGAAGTCATTTCCTTTAGTATAATTTGCTAACAAACATTTGGTAATGAAGAACTGAGACAAAGTTTTTTTAGATGAAAAACAACAATAGTTGAAATTTATTTCCATATTAATTGAAGAATTAATGCATAGCTTAACAAGAATTTTTCATTTGTATCCTACTGTTGCAAAGAAAAGAAGAAAGATCCTTTAACTATGTTGTTTTGACTACATATTTTCATCATTAACATCGTATTGTTGAGCACGTTGATTGAAAATGAATAACTTCAATATAGTTCTATTATAAAAAAAAGTGCTTAGTCATGTTTTTCTTTATATAGAATGTTGTATCTCTCAAAACGCTCGCAGACAATATACTGGGTAAAGTCAGTTTTATGCTACTAAAGAAAATATTAATAGAAATGAATTTAGCTATTTATAAGAAATACTATAAATAATGATTATAGATTGAACATCCTATCAAAACTGTTTGTCATACTCTTATACTTTTACTAATGTAAAATAATTCAGTTGCTTTGAATACTAATGTGGTTAGAAATATTTTGTCATGCTGACGTAGGCTGCCCTTGTTATTAAATTTGTTTAATCTATGTCAAAGCCAAAGAAAAGTAGAATAAAGATAAGTGGCATATAAATAGAATAATAAAGAATCTTTCTAAATGATTATTCTTTTTCGATACAAAAAATTAATTATTTTATTTATCAAGAATTCAAATTTGAGTCACTTTGTAGAATAGGTTTTTTGAAAAATATTCAATAAATAACTTGTAAACACCTTTTTGGTTGTTACTAAAATTTTCTTTGTAGATACATTTGTCAGAGTTATATAATCAATAAAAAACTTAGCTCTTCAGATTTTATTGTGACATATGACAAAGTATTAGAAAACTTTTGTCATATAATATAAATATAGTGTAATAAAATATATTACCACTAATCGTACCAAAAAGTTACAATTCATTAAATATATAAATTGATCGAAATATTGAAGAGAAAATGTAAATTAGCCGATTGTTTTCATTTCAGCAATGAGAAATTTGTCTTTCTCAAAAGATTATTTCATCATTTATTTCACAAAAAGAGAAAAAAAAAGTCAATATTACTATGACAAATAAAACAATATGACACATCATGTTTGTTCATACATATATATGTATATATACAATTTTTCATTCATTTAAAAAATCAAACTAAAGTATTAAAAACGACTATCATCACTTTCCATTGTTTCTGAATATGATACATTTTGTAAATTAGGTACAATTTGTTTCATTGCATTATATTGATCATTAATAAAAATATTTATTTTTCCATATGGTTCTTGTTGATTAACTTTTACTCGTCCTTCACCACAAAGTACTAAAATTCAAATTAACAAAAAAAATAGAATAAAATTAATAATAAAACTAATTATTACCAAGTAATACATTAAAATGACGCGCTGCTAAAATTCGATTTATATCTGATCGTTTAAGTAATTGATTAAATGAACCACCATTAGAATTATCAGCAACACTAAGAAAATTAAATATGAAAAAAAAATAAAAAGAATATTTTAAATTATTTACTTGAGAATATCTTCAATGGCTTTTTGTTTTTGTTTCTCTTGCCACGTTGGTGATGGTTCAACAGGTGATGTAATTGTTGTTCGTCCTCGACGTTTTGTTTGTAATGGTGAAAGTGGTTGTCGATTATCAACTAATGATTCAAATGGTACTGGTGGTACTAATGGAAGATCATCGAAACCACTTGGTAATGGTGGAAGAATACCACCATCACTTGTTGGTGCTGGTAATTGTGATATACGCTTTTAAAAAAAGAAGAAAAAACGGTATTTATTTGATTTGATATAATAAAACAATCTTACATCTTCTATCATTGGTACAATCGATGGACGAGTATCTGCTCTAGGTAAAAGACCACCTGAAAAAAAGAATACGCATTTTTATTTAATTAAATAACAAAAAATTGAATCTTACTTGATTGACCTCGTCGAATTGCCATTTCTTGTCCTGTACGACGTACTTCGGCAAGATTTCCAGACTCATCTATAGATTTTTGGAATATAATTTCTAATATTCAAATGAAAAAATGTCTTTTACTTGGATCGATTAATATGTTTGCTATATTTGTAATATCACCAATAATTGCATCAAGATCAGTATTAGTCATTGCAATTTTAGCTTTATCCAATAATTTCTTCATTCGTTTCGTTCCATTCTTAAATAATACAACGAAATTTTTCAAAATATTAAATTCTACTATATTTTAAACATACTCGACCAATTAATGTTGACCATGGTTGTTGTTTTTGTTTATTTTTTTCAAATTCTTCATCTTCTTCTTCTTCAATTACTTTTAATATATCATAATTAAAATCAACAATATCTTCATAAAGCTTCGTATTCTTTCGTTTTTTATTTAATGCATTGGGTGCATTACGTTTCTTTTTTGAAACACGAAAATATTCTTTTCCATCAGATGATACCATCATTACATCAGGTACTTGAGCATCAATACCTGATCTTCTTGGCACTTCATGTGGTAATTGCTAAAACAATTCATTTTTTATTATGAGTGGAAAAAACAAAGAGAAGAATCATACTTGATCTAATGGAGGTAATGTATCCATTGGAATAGGTACTTCATCTGCACCAATTACTGTTGGTTCTTGAACAAAAATTAAAGGAACATCATTACTAGTCGAAATACAATCAGCACCAAGTAAAATAGTTTTTGTTGGTATTGAACTAGAAAAGAAATGAAATTAATAATGAATTTAATTTTATAAAAAATGAAAAATTTTTACTCATATATTGGATATGTATCAATAGCACTTGTTATAAAAGCAAGTGCATCAATAGAAAATTGATCACGTGTTATAGGTTCAGATTCCATAGGTGCTACTGTTGTATCCATAAGTGGCATTAGTAATGGTGGCAAATCAGATAATACGTCACGTGGTGGAAAATTTTCATCAATAGTACGATCTTTACTTGGATGTATATATCGATCAGTTGCACCTATATGTCGATCAGCTCGTGGTGCTATATACGAAATTTTATATAAATAAAATCATGAAAAAATACAAAAATACCTTGAAGTAATTCTTTACTTCGATCTTCAGATGAAGTACGAAAAAATGTTCGATCATAACGTTCATCAATATCCATTGCTGTTGTTGGTGGAACTGGTAATGGTTCACCAAAACGATCATCAATTATATCAAATTTTGGCATTGGCTCCTAAGAAAATAATCAATTATTTCTTTTTCTTAATATAGATTTTTTTCCTTACTTCAATATCAGGTAACAATGTAATACGTTTTCCATGAGTTGGTTTAGAAACTTCCCATGGAAGTGGTGGTAAATTATCCTAAGAAAATAAATTTTCTTTTAATGAAAAAATAAAAAAAATAAATCAACAAACAGGTGATTGAACAACTTGTGGTGGTGTTACTTGACGTGGAATTTCAATTGAAAAATCTCTTTCTAATAATATTCTTTCGTCTGGTAATAGATTTTCATCAATATCAATTTGCCATTGTGTAGTAGTTAAAACCGCTTCTTTTTTACGTGTTAATTTTACTTTTGTTGGATCATCAAATTCAAAAAATCTAACAGAAAAAAAAACTTTTCTTTTTAATAAATAAAACAAAAATTTATTTATATACCGATGTACAATAGCATCTTTGTATAATTTTTCTACATCCTCTGAAAAATAAAACAACAAATAAATACAAATAAACAAAAAAATAATAACTTACGATGCCATAGAATGACACTTTTAGAATAAACATAAACAAGACCAAGCATAAGATGACTATCAAGAATAAGTGCTAATGGTGAACGACGACGATTTTTCGAATTAATATATTGCAGAACATCAGTACTGTATAATAAATATTTTCATATAACTCATAGGATTAAAATTAAAAACGTACTAAATAGTTTTGAAATTAGGTGAATTAATTAATGTTTTAGTTACTAAACGTCGTTGGCCAGCACATTTCCTATTTACAATAGAAATTTTAAGAAATTAAAGTTAAATAATTTTACCAAAGAATTTGTAATGAAGGACTATGAGCAAAAACATTTTGTGTTTTTCTTGTTGAAGTCATTTTACTAATTCTAGATTCTTGTCGACCACTTGGTCTATTGATGGTAAAATGATATATATAAATCAAAATTAGAATTATTTTCCTTTCTTTTTGTTCTATATCAACGGACGTATACATTCTTTCGTCTGTCATTGCGAGAAAGTAAAAGAACGAAAAATATATACATATATTCAAATCTTATATAACATGAAATTCTAGAAAAATGAGTTCATTAAGAACGTTTATATTTATACTAAAGTATAAGAATGAAAATTGAGCTTAAAATTTTGTTATACAATTAGTTAGTTCTCTGTTCATATGAAAAAAATCAATCGTTTTATAGCTTATGAAAATTGATATCTTTATTAGTTGATATAACTAATATATTTGAACGAAAAAAATTTACATAAAGTGGTTCAGTTTTATATGTGTAACTTTCTTTGACTTTTCCATCTTGTGTAATATGTAAAATTTTGCATGTTTTCCAATCAAATACAAGCCATTGATTATGACTTGATAAACAACATCGAATAACTGTTTCATTATAATCAATATTAAGTTGACATGACCATAAACGATCAAATGTTTCTGTTGATCGTAATTCTATTGATTTTATTTGATTAATACTATTATTAATCGTTAAAGCAAGTGTTTTATTATTATATATTATATTATCAATACGTTGTTTTTGTGTTTTATCTTGCGTGATTTTCCAGTGTTTAACAAATTTTATTGAAGGTATTAAACTATATTCACGAATTGATGAATCCCAAGTTCCAGTTGATAAATATAATGAACTATTAGAACATGCACATGATTGCCAAAGTCTTCCTTCAATCGATTCTATACGTTGAATTAAAGTTAAATCTTCATAAACAAGAAAAATATCAATCGCTGTTATAATTATAAAAGAATTTAATACTGATGACCAACACATATGTATGATTGAATCATAAATCCATTCTTTTTGTTTAGTTATTGTAAGCTCATCATCAATTAAACATAGATTTGAATTTTGATGTATTAATAAGTTTTGATAATTACTAACAAGTGCAATCGAACTTTTATTTAAACGAGACATTGTTGAATAGGATGATAAAATAGATAATAAATTAAATTCTTGTAAACATGATTGATCAAAACTAATTAATTCTTTATTAATTTTATATGGAGATATATTAACATTAATAGATAATTGATCTATTTCATTAAGATTTTGTTTTAATCTGTCGATTGATAATGTTAATGAATTAATATCATCATATGTAGTTTCTTGTTTATCTAATAATTCATTTATTTGAAATCGTATTTTATCAATTTCTTCACGTTGTCGATCAAGTATTTTATAAGTAAATTTATTTAATTCTTCACATTTTTGTTCATAATAATCTTCAATAATACGATGACATTCATCATGCCATTGATTTAATTTTTTCAATGAATCATTCCTAAGTTTATTAATATCAAATGTATTCAATTGATCAGTTAATATATTAATTTGATCAATTAATGGATTTAATTTTAAATTTAATTCATCATCATGCTCCATGAAATGATTTCGACAAAATAATTGATTACAACATTGACATAAAACACGTGATGTACATTTACATGTTTGTATCGAACATGATTGCGACATTATGTATAATAAACAAAATTTTATCTTCTTTTACTAGTTAAAATAGAAAAGAGCTATTCTTATATATCGAAAGAATGATTCATATTTCTATAATACGTTTCTTAGAAATAAAAGAAAAATGTATTATTGTTTAGATTTATTATAGATGAAAAATTGAAGTTTATAATTTATGAAAATGAATACTATGATCAGTTGAAATAACTAATTTATTTGAACCAAATTGATGAATATAATGAATTTCATCCTGATATTCAATCGTATTTTTTATTTTTCCATCTTTTGTAAGATATATTAAAGATAAACTTCCCCAATCTGCTATTAACCATGTATCATAATTATACAAACAACATTGTATTTTTCGTTCACTATATTCGATATTAAGTTGACATAACCATAAACAATCAAAAGTTGTTATTAATCGAAGCTCAATAAATATTTCTTGTTTAGATTGATCATTAATAGCTAAAATAAGTTTTCCATTATTATATTCAATACTATCAATACGTTGTTTATGATCAATTGTTTCATTTCTTTTATAAGATTTAACATATTGAATCGAAGGTTTTAAATTAAATTCAATAATCGATTCATTTGATAAATAGAGAGATGTATCCGAACATGTACAAGATTGCCAAACGTTTTTTTCTGTTGTATTTATTTGTTTAACTAATAATGTATTTATTTCAACTTGATAAATATCATGTAATGTTATAATAAGAAAACAATTTAAAATTGTTGACCAACACATATCTTGTATTTGATCATAAAACCAGTGATTTTGACGAATTATAAATAAATTTTCATCGATTAAATATAATTTCCAATTTTGATGTATTAATAAATATTGATTATTACTAGCCATTGCATTTGAACTTAAAGGTATACGTTGAATTGTTTGATATGGAGTTGATAATTTCGATAAATCCGTTATAAAATTGACATCAATTAATTTATCTATTATGACTAATGGACGAATATCAACTTGAATAGATATATATTTAATTTGATTTATTTGTTCTTGTAAAGTTTGAATATTTTTTGTTAATAATTCGATATTATGATTTGTTGTTTGTTGTATATAAATCATTTTTTCTATTTTTAATTGTAGATCGTTGATATCTTTTTCGTATTTATTCAATATATTATTAATATAATAATTGAGTTCTGTGCATTTGTTTTCGTAAAATTTATCGATAACTTGATAAGCATCCAAACGCCATTCATCAAGTTTTTTAAGACTATCGCTCATAACGGTTTTCATATCAAAAGATTCGAATTGATCAAAAAGTTTATTGATTTGTTTAGTTAAATTATTTAATTTTGGACGTAGTAAATAATCATGTTCAACAAAATGTTCTCGACAAAGACTTTTCTTACAACAAATACATGTTATAAGAGCTATACAGTTACATGTTGATATTTCACAAGTATGAAACATAATTTAAACTAATTTATGTAAAGGAGAATAATCAAACATTATATTTTATACAGGTGTGTCTCTCATCATGATATATATGAAAGTATGAGAAAATGATTCATAATTTTCAGTAATCATGGATATGTATCTATTCGAATACCTTATTTGTTAATCAGTAAAATGATATAAAATCACACATATGATTAATTATAGTTTTTTCATATAAAACAAACGAAGCGTTTAGACGCGATTTATTTTAGAAACGCGTATGAATCGTTCGTAGTTTGACTTGCGTTCAAATGCGTTTCATTCAAAATAAAATATATTTGAATGTGAATTTCATTGATTAAATATTTCCTTTCAATAAGATGTATTCTTTTCAAAGTTAGGACATTTAATAATAACATGATTTTTCACTTCTTTTTTTTAATAAAATAATATCTTTTTTATCACCTACTACATGTAATTAATACTACAAATTTTTTTTTCTATTGCACGGGTACCATGATGAATAATTAATTATTCATACAATTTATTTACTAGAAATATATGATGAAAAGTTATTAACCATGTCATTTAGATAGTAGTATTAAGCAGTTTGCTAAATAAACATTGGATAGCTGAAAACTATTACAATATTGTCTTATTATTATTTTATAAACTTTAGAGAAATATCGGGTTATTTGTCGTAGGTTTAATTGAATTTTAGTCTATTTCACCGGCATGTAAACATTTTTTATTAAAAAGTCTAATGAAGTTTAGACGAATAAAATATATAAGTTAATAATTTCGATCACGCAATGAACTCTTTTAGAGAAGTAATTTTTGGGGCAAAATCGCGTCTGATACATAAGAAAGAAACGCGTACAAACACGCTCGTAAATATAATTGGGTGCCTTCGCAGTGAATGTTTTTCAGAAACTTGTTGAGACGCACATAATTTTTTTTCTGACTGCGTTGTAAAACATTCTATAGAAAAACTGCGTTCAGACGCGTTCCGATATTTTTTTTAACCATGTGCCAACGCGTCTCATACTACACCGCCTTTGAACATGTTCACTCAAACTCTTATGAAACGCGTCGAGACGCTGTCAATGTTTTTTTCTGTTCGCATTCCAACATTATATGCAAAAACTGCGTTCAGACGCGTTTCATATTCACAATGCGTTTGGATGCGTCTTAGAACTGTTTTTAATTGCGTCTGGACGCGTTTTGTTGTGAGACCGCGTTTTAAAGTGCTTGGAGCTATAATTCTTGTTTTTTTTATCATTATACTTGTTAAAGTTAATAGCAAAGTTGACAGACTTCTAGACAAGCACAATGGACCAGAAGCCAATGCAAAAACACGACAACAATCACCAAACGCGTTCTTATCCGGAGCGATTCGTATTGAGGACGCAATGAATCATCTTAATGAACTACAACGCATTGCTACAGCTTCGAATGGGACTCGTGCTTTTGATGCACCTGGATTCAATGCAACAATAGACTATATTACAAACTATCTTAATGCCAATACTAATTACAAAGTAACAAAGTCATTTTTCTCTGTGACAGGCTTTGCACTTGCAAACGATCCAGTCTTGATATCATCGATTAATGGCATTACAAAAAATTATACTTATTCCGCTGAATCTTCTACTGCCGACTTTTATCACGCTGTATATTCTACATCAGTCAGCATTACCGATTTTACTCAGCTAACAGCTGTACCAAATGGAGGTTGTTCAGATGATGATTGGCAAGAAACAAATCCATCTCCTGCCGATCGCGTAGCGTTAGTCAAACGTGGAATCTGTTCCTTTCGAGGGAAAATTGCACCTGCTACGAAATACAATGCAAAAGCTGTATTGTTATATAATGATGGTACATCACCCGATCGTGTTTCACCTATAGAAATTACTTTTACGCAAGAGAACACTATACCTATTCTCTTTCTCTCATTTACTGTTGGCCAAGCACTTTTAAATAGTACTCAAAATGCACCAAGAAATACTCGTGTAAAATTACTTATTGAAACGAAAGATTTATCTGACATTCTTGTAGGAAATATTTGTGCTGATACACCTTCAGGTGATATTACTCAAACCATCATTATTGGTAGTCATTCTGACAGTGGTCCTGAAGGTCCAGGTATCAATGATAATGGTAACTTCATTTATCTCAATAATATTGTCCGTCTTTCACTATCTTTCTTTCAGGTAGTGGTAGTGCAGCTAATCTTGCACTCGCTGTGGCACTTGCTCGTCTCTTTCAAACATCTACATATCCAAAATATAAATATCGTATTCGATTCTGTTGGTGGGGTGCAGAAGAAATAGGTCTTCTCGGATCAGATTATCATGTCAATCAAGCTAAAAATACATCGATTGTTGGTGAGCGTTTATCTGATTATTTGATTCATCTTAATTATGATATGCTTGGTTCACCTAATTATATCTTTGGTATTTATGATGCTAGTACAGCTATGAATGATACTCCATCACAAGCTCTTTCAGGTAGTAAGAAGATTTCAACTCTTTTCAAAAATTGGTTTATTCAACAAAATCTTCCTTGGGACTATATTGACGTTAGTAGTCGAAGTGATTGTGGTCCCTTTCTAGCAGAAGGTATTGTTGTTGGTGGACTATTTTCTGGTGCAGATGATGCGAAAACAGTTGAGCAACGTAATCGTTATAATCATATTCTTGGTCAAAGTATGGGTGGTATTCCAGATATTCCCGAAGATCCATGTTATCACAAAGCATGTGATTCTATTGAGAATATCAACATATTTGTATATGAAAAGATGATAAAAGCTGCTGCATATGCTCTTGAATTTCTTGGTCGACAGGAAGATTTAAGAACATGGCTTTATCCATCTACTGAAATACAATGACGGAATATTTGAACATAATAAGTATAAGAAGAATATCGATAGAAACTTCAATTATTTGTATTACTGTCATTGCTATATATATATCTTATTTTTGCTTTTTTTCAGTATATATTTATAACTTCTGCTAATGGCAATGCGCACTATTATAATCGCATTTTGCAGTGATTATTTATTAAATGCTTCGATCAATATCATTACTAGTTTGTTGAAAAATGATATTCAGCGTTATTTTTCTTCTTGCTATTTTCATTAGTTTTATTTTTTATGTACTTTTTGCTGTTATATACGCTTCTATAGTTTGAATTTTTATCTCGTGTACAAGTTACTTGTGCGTATTTGACGATGCGCAAGTTTTGTTGTGCACAATATTCGTACATTAGATATTCAAGTAGTGTCATCAATTACAATAAAAATATCTGGTTCATATATACATAGAAATTGTATTTGTTCTATTGTGTTTCGTTGCTGATATTGATTCTATGTTTCTCGGTATTGTGAATCAATAGGACAAAAATCAATGAACCACCGCCTAAAGAATGAATATTAGTTGTTAATTTGATTTTTTGTTTCTTGATTTATCTATATAAAAAAAAGATTATTAGTTGAATATCAGAAAATATTTCTTATACAATTGAATAATTACATAATCAGAATAATATCACGGAGTTTTAATACTTTATATATGAATTCGTTGCCTTATGAGCAAAAGTAACGTATAGATCTGAGATTATAAATATGTGCATCAGAAATGTATTATTTATCGTTAGTTTCACGTTAACAAACATACCAGTTGTTCTCACAAGATATATCACACTAGTATTTAATTGATACAAAACGAGATATTTATTTTTAGTAATGACCTCACCTTTGCATGCGCATTTCCTGTATGTTTCATATAACGGTACAAAAATAAGAAACATCACAGACTTTTGTTGTTTTACTGATCTCCTTTTATAAATGTTAAATATCTGTAGTGATAAGAATCTGTTCTTTTGATATCATGATTTATAATAACAAATATACAAAAAAGAAAAAAATATAATAAACTAAATAATATTTTGTACAACACGAAGGAATTCCTCTGCAGTTGGCTTCGAACATGAACGTTCATCGAATGAGATTTCTCCAAGAGTATTTCGAATAGCAGCACTTGTAGTTTTACCTAAACTTATTAACTACAAAAGAAATTTTTTAAATATGAAAAATAAAATATCTTACAGTGGATTTATTATTTGTGAAATCAAAACCAATTCGTTGACTTGCTTTGAGCACACTATCAAATCCACTTGGACTAAAGAAACCAAGAACATCCGGGGTCTAAAGAATTTTTATTTAGAAAAATTCTAATAAATAAATATGATTCTATCTTACTCCTTGAGTTGTAAGATATTCTTGTAATTCTTGATCAAGACTATCTGATGGAATTGTTTCATAAACTATTATTTCATCTAGATGAATTGCTGTAAAAATATAAAATAACAAATTCTTTGTTAATTCAATATAAGAATAATTTCAAAAAACCTTGTTCAGCTGATAATCGTTTTGGTAATATATCTAATCGAGCTTGTGCACATGGGAATAATAGATTGATCTTACCGTCTATATTATGTACATCTAATAAAATAAACAAGATATTATTTGATTTTTGCAGTATACTAATTACCTTTTATAATGAAATCAGCTAATGATTCACCACCACCAGTTTCAGCACCAGAAATATTAACTGTTGAACCAAATAATTCTTTAACTAGATTGTAAAACGAAATATCATCCTTTATATATAAATTTCGGAATAGAATTTTCTACCTAATGTACTTGTTGCTGGTCCTTCAACATATACTCGTTGCCATCGTTTTCGATCATCATCTAAAAATGATTAGCAATTTAGCTATTTCAAGAAAAAATAACAACATACTTTCTCTTTAACTTCATATTCTTTATGTACCTGTAAGGCCTTGTTGAACAGCTTCGACAGCTCGTTTACTTGTAAATATAAGACCATGATATTCATCTGCCATCTATATAATAATAAATACAAGACATAGAATTATAAATTTTGTTATCTAACATGCCTTAAGTTTAGTCGAAAGTAAATCATGATTTATAAAATGAAATTGAATAGGTGATATTGTTTTCACTTGATAATTATGGTCACGTAATAACTAAAATAAAACTCAAAATTAATATAATAGATTTATTAAATTAAATTTAACTTTTTCATAAATATCTTCATTTGATATATCATCAGTTTTAGATCGAAATAATAGAATTGTTTTTACTGGCATTCTAGATATCTACAATAATAAATAGAATAATTAACATCTTTAGTTTTATCTCTTATAATTATAAATACTATCGACAAAGAAAAACCAATAAAATTACAAATAAACTTACATATTGGTAGAACTGCCTAATTCGTTTACATCAATAAAACAGTGACATCTTACGCATGAAAGTATCCTATTCTATTATATAAATAATTCATGAGTTTAATCATAATCGATTAAAATTTTCAATAGAACTATATTTGTCTACATTTATCTTTATTTAATTTTTTTATTAATTTATTGCGAGCAAATAATTTGTTACAAGCTGTTTAAAATGTTAATAATATGCGAAGCCAAAAAGAAAAAAGAAACAACAAGAAAAATTCTAACATAAAGCAACTACACACATGTATATAAGATAATAGTTTTTATTATTAATCTGAATCACTTGTAGTAGATGAAAATGATTCAGCAACATTTGGTTTGACCGCTTTATTTTTATTAGTTGTACTATGTTTAGATGAATGACCATGAGTAGGACTTGCATTCTGCGGAACATTTCGTGATGAATGTGATTTTCGATGATCATTACGTTCTAATGAACTAGTATTAGTTGGTGGTAAACTATAACGTGAACCAAATTCACTATCATGACGATGATCTGGTAATGCACTCATAGAACCTGAATGTTCACCATTAAGACCATGTTTTGTTGTTCGTTTTGGAACATTAAGTGCTGTTTCACTAACACTTCGTTGAGACGGATGAAGACGATGAAATGGTGCAGCTGTACGAAATTCCTTAAAAAATTATAATAGAAATAAAATCTATATAGATTAAGAATATTAACCTCTAAATCATGTGCAATATCAATGTTCAATAATTGTTGATGTGCATATGTATACATTTCCATAGCACGAGCATGAAAAGATAAATTAATTAATGTATAATCAGTTAAATATTTTTTAATATCTGTTAATTTCATTTGCTCAAATTTATCGATTTCATCTTGAACAACATTATCTGCACGTGATGATTCGGTTTGTGCATATTCAGCATTAACTTGCATAGCAACAATAGCATCACGATTTCCTGGATTACGATTTGTTGTTTGTTGTAATTTACGTTGTCGTTGAACACCTTTATCTCGTGCAGCAATTGCTTTTTGTACGGCATTCTATAGAAAATAGAAAAATATTCAAAACTTAAAAGGATTAATTTATTTTATTTACTCGTTTAAGTTTCATAATTTCCCCATATTTAGCAAGCGGTTCAAGTATTTGACTTTCAACTCGAGTAATCTACAGATATAAATTAATTTTTTTTTGTTCATAAATTTTATTAACTTACAAGTGTATTACGATAATCTTCAACAGCTGATAAATAACTTGCATATTGTTGAAGACTTTGTCTTAATGATGTATTAATACGTTCACGATCAGCAAATTCAAACATATTTTGAACCATTTCATCATTACAATCACGTAATCGTGCTTCTTTACGACATACTTTACCAAATTGCACACATATACTACCTAAATATTTTTCAACTTGATTTATACGATCTAATACAAATTTTGTATTATTGGCATCACTAAACATACGATGAAGAAGGTAATTATTATATGTAAATAAATAATAGAATATATTTACTTAGCAGCAAACATAATGTTAATCTTTTTGTTTGTGAAAATGAATTAAAAGAAAAGAAAAGATACGCCATACATTGATTTGTCCTGATTAAAATTACTAAGCAACAACCATACAGATGTCACTGAATACTTTTTGTCGAATTATTTTATATTTAGGAAATTACTTTCGAATAACAAAATTCAATGATTTCAACAAATAAATATCAGGATAAAAAATAATTATTTGTAACTAAGAAACCAGAGGTCCTTATAATCAGATCAAAAATAAAAATAAAAATAACTCTGTTCGATTTGACTAGGTGATTGAAGAATAAAACAAATTGTCAAAATGAGCTTATTGAATACTTCAAATGATAGTGATAGTGACTCTCTTTCCATTTTGGTTATATTAAGAACTTTATTTACTGATTTACCTGATCTTGTTATTCTAAATATTATTCATTATCTATCACCATTCGATGCAATTCAAGCATTTTATAATATCGATAATGATGATGATAATAGAATTTTAAATCTTTTAATTGAAACTCGATGTTTTTCATCGATTCATCAACTTCGATTACCTTTATTTAATTTTGTTTGTGATTATGTTATACCATATATGGGTTCTAAACTATCTCATTTAACTCTCTATGATCATCAACTTATGATAGCTCGTACTAAACAAATATATTTATATTTATCTAATCTTTCATCGCTTCACCTAATTAATATTATTGAAATAAAAGAAAATGATAATGATCTTTCATATTTTCTTAATAAACAATTAAAAAAACTAACTATTCAATTCATTAGTGAACATCATATAGAAGCTCAAGCTTATATATGTGAACAATTTATATTCAATAAAGAATCAACAAATTTAATTCATTGTCATTTATTAAATAATTATGGAATACACCTTCGACGTTTAAATTTATTTCCAAATAATTCTATTCAAGAAATGACTGTACAATTAAAACATTTAACAGATTTACATGTACTTTTTGATAATTTAATAAATATAAAAATTCTAAATATTGAAATTTGTCAATGGACTATTGAAGATATTAAATATGATTATACGAAATTATCAAAAAAACTTCCTCATTTAATTGAATTTTCTCTTCAAACTCATCATACATTAAGTTTTAATCAAATGATCAGTATTATTCAACATTTAATTTATTTAAATAAACTTTCATTTATCTATCGAAATTATGATGAACGTGGTATTGATATAAATCAATTACAACTAATATTGAATCATCTTCAATGTTTAAAACATTTACACTTTATTATTAAATTTATTTATTTTAATCTCAATCCTAAATTAACATTTGAATATAATATTCAATTAAAACAACAATGGAATGTACATACATACATGAATTCTTTATATAAAACTTATCTTGCATATACTCAACCGATGATTAATCGAAATTTTTCAATTTCAAGTGATATTCTATTAGATGATGATTTAATATATCTTCCAACAATAACGAATTTAAACTTAACTATACATACAAAACAAATTTCTCTTTTACCTATTATTCGTTTATTGAATAGTCATTTTCCATTTTTGAAGCACCTTCATATTGTTGATTCATTTGGTATCGAAGAAAAGAATGATTGTACTATGAAATTATTTAATATTCATTCATTGAATGCATCAGAATTAAAAATATCGAATTTATTCTTTAATCTTATTCAATCTTTACCTAATTTAGTGTATCTTCAAGTAAATTCAAATATTTTAATCAATTGTGATCTTAAATTATTATTCGTAAACAATCAAATAAAACATCTGGAATTAATAACAAAGAATTTCGATGAAATTAATAATATTTTATTTTATTTTCCAATTTTGGAATATTTAATAATCAATAATAAAAAACAATCAAATGATTATAAACGAAAATCCTACCGAATTGTTTTCAATTGGTTTGAAATATGTACACAATTATATACAATTCTTATTAAAACAGATAAATTATCTAATTTATTTTTTAATTTAAGTCATACAGAAAGCAATTCAAAGATTCACATACAATATTCGAATGAAATGCTTACTGTATGGAAATAACAGAATATATTATACATTAGAAAAAATTATACGATAGGAACCGTGCAAGTGTTACGTCATCAGCTTCAGGGGGAGGCGTCAGTCAATAATGACAATCGGGTAAATCTGTCTTTGATCGAGAATGGTGTGGGTGTGGGTTTGGGTGCGGATGAGGGTGTGGGTGTGAGTAGGTGGATGTGAATGTGTGTGGGCGTTTGATTCTTTGCTTACCCACACCCACACCATCAAAATGGGAGGGGTCCAAAATCCGGATAACGTAATACAGGCACAGTCCCGTAAGAGAAATGCATTTAATTTAGATATAGATGACATGCGAACGCATTTTATAGTGGTATTACTTTAGAAATTAAGACAATATAAAAATATTTCTATTTGATAAAATTAACTTGAATATTTTATCTTATACCAAATTATTTAATATAGTACAATCAAGCTTGAATTAGTAGGTAAGAATTATATAGATTAGATATGATTATAAATTCATATATAAAGTAAAAACAAAAGAATAATCATGTGATTTTCTCTTATGAATATAATTCATTTGACATTAACAGTTCAATGGTTATTAAGTATATAAAGCAACATTTAAAATTATTTTTTTCTATTGTTTTTAATTATAGACGATGTGACTAAGTATGGCACTTTCTAGTTTTACCTTTATAATTACTTTTTTGTACTTTAACTTTTAATTACTATGCACAACTCTTGTGTCAGTAATTTGCTATCCTATTACTCTTTATTAAGTACTAGGAACAAACTTTAATTTGTGTTCTTCTACAAGTAGAAAATTTCTACTTCTTTTGTTGTATATGTAAGGAAAGGAAAGCTTAAGAATACATATTACATAAACATACAAATACTGATGTATGAATCAAATGAATATTGAATCAAGTAATTTGACATCATTGGTAGAAAATATGTTGAATAATCAACCGGAAATTTCCTTTTTTTACTTTGTAAATTATTAAACAATAATTTCTCATTCAACATCAAAATCTTGAGATAATTAAAGAACATTTTTTTTATTGTTTTGTTATTTAAATTTATTTATAAAGAAATAAAAGCAAAAAAAAAACTTTTAGCAAGCAGAAATGCATGCAATCTTTTTTCTTTTCATATACCTGAAATTAAAAATATAAGTATAAGAGAATAAAAAGACAGAACAACTTTTTTTTTATAATCACGATCAAATAATAATGATCGCAAGACACTCGTGCAAATTTAGTCAACTAAGTGAGAGAAAAAAAAATAATGTCTCTGTTTTTCATTATTTGTATGTATGGTTTTTTATTCACAACGATCATATCAATAATAACCTAGAATAAAAACGTATGAACAATAAATTAAAGGCCAAAATTTTTATTCTTACGATAAATGGATGAAAATGTTACTGGACTGCTCGCACGCGATCGACATACTGGACTTATTGATCGATTTCGAATACAACTTGAATAACATCGACGAGTTGGGCTAGTAGCTCGAGAACGACTCTATTTATTTATTAATTAAATAAGATTTTTTCTTTTTATATTATTTTAATAATTTAATATACTTACGAATGAAGCGCCTCGTTTTGTACATGCTTCACCCTATAAATTATTATTATAATTAATTCCTTTTCAAGTTATTCAATATAAATACCTTAACAATAACTCGTGCACCTTGCATTAATGCTGGCCAGATATGATGATCAACAAGTGGTGCGGCATATTCCGAATCATAGCTTCGTCGATATCTTAATTTTAGTAGAGATAAAATTTAATTTATTTTATTCAATAGATAGGAACTCACTTAGTTTCATCGAATACTTCTGCATTACTTGCAAATGCAATATCAAGTGGATACGAGAGACATGCCATATGCCAAGCAACACGACTTGCTTCTCGTATATATGTACTAATCAAAGAATAAGTAACACCAAGTGGCAAACTTATTCGTGGATTACGATGTAAATTATCAATTACTTCCTAAAATTAATCCAGACAGAAAGAGTATGACGTTATTAAAAAAAAAAGTCTCGGTTTCTTACCGATACAATAGTTGTTAATTCGTAATAATCAAGATTACGATTAACATAATCTTGAACAACATCTTCTAATGAATCACCACCTGTAAGTGTAATAGCCAATTGAGAACGAAGACGTAGTTTCCATTCAGCAAAACGTCGTTTTGATACGGAAAAAGCTTCCTAAATTAATCCGAGATAATAAGATTAGTTTTATAGAGAGAAAAAAAAGGTATCTTTATACCTGAACAATGTTAAAACATATAAGTTCATTCATAACATAATCATCAGATACTGTTCGAAGTGTATCCAATGCATTAAGACGTTCTCGTCCATATAATTCATTATAACGTTGAATTAATGTATTCTCACGAATTTTTTCTAATGAATCAATGGATGCTGATGAAATCAATGGACGTATTGGTGACAATGAACGTACTGGTGACAATGAACGTACTGGTGATCGTGAACGTACCGGTGTTAAGGAACGTTGACGTATATAACTACATAAAATTTGATAATATTTATTTCTGTATAAAAAAAAAACTTTTTTTTTCTTTACCTAAGTACTGGTGAAACAGATCGAGCTCGAGTACGTCTCTGAGCAAAATCAATATCATCACGTAAACGACGAATTTCTCGTTCATAACCATCAACAGCAGTTGAACGTGGTTTATAACGTTCCAATGAAAGTCGAAATTCAGCATCGCTCAAACTATATAAAAATAATTTTTTTATTCTTTATTTTTTTTTTGTTTATATTTTTTTCTTACCGTAATCTTAAATTTGATAATTCAGCATCGGTATAGATTTTCTCATCCGTTGATTTAACTCGTTCATCAATGAGTTCGGCACGTGTTTGTTCAAGTCTAAATAATAAGATACATCTTTTTGATAAAAAACAAAAGAAAATTCATTTAATTTTAAGTACTCAGTCTCGAGTCGAGCATTGTCAACGTTTGCATCACGTAAATCGAGCTCGAGATCACTTAAATTTCTGTCATATTCATCAGCTAATGCTTCAAATTCAGTATCTGTACGAAGATGGGCATATGGATAACGCCACCATGCCAATGGATATAAATCCGAACCGGTATTGCTTAATAAGGCATTGAAGTAAGATGCTTCATAGTTAACAAATGGTAATAAACGTGCTCGAATTGTTGTAGCACCACCATAAACACCACCTATTAGATGACGAAATAATAGATAGAAAAAAGAAAATAGAAAAACTCAAATGAATGTGTTAAGATGAATAAATATGTGTTGTTATTCCCCGCCGACAGAAGCTGATATCACCTGGTGCTTGTAAGTCAGAGCAAATCAAACAATGCACAAAGTGTATCAGCCATTTCGTGCAAGATATCTATGGGTGTATTTGTGTGTGTATGTATGTATGTGTATGTAAGAATAAGAAGATAGAATGGAATGAACGTTTCCATCTTACTCGATTGTCGCGCTCGGAGAAACCGCGCGAGTGAGCGAATGAACGAGAGAAACAGCGAGCACATAATAGTAAAAAAGAAGGAGAGGGAGAGAAAAAAAGTCCGACACCCGGAAGAGAGCATTTCCATTTGACGACGATGCGAAAAAAAAGAGACCAGCTTCTTTCTTGCTTTCTTTCTCTCGTTCTCTCCCTGTCTCTCTCTCTCTCTATGTCTCTCTCCCACTCTTGCACATCATGCATGATGGTTGAACAATCATGATGAGATTTTTTCTTGCTACAGCACAACTCGATCGAGCTTTTACGAATTTCAATTATAGAGGCAAGAATAGCGGCAAGACGCGTAGAAGAAGAAGAATAAGAAGAAAAAGATAAGTTGGAAAGGGGTTAAGAGCAAGAGAGAGATGCTCTCAAGTTTGAGAAAATTGGTCAGTCTATAGAAAGAAAAGAAGGAAAAAAAGATGCTCATAAGAATGGAAAATCGAATTCTTTTTTTTCTTCATATATTTCTTTTGCTATAAGCTATTTAGATGTATGTTTATTATTAAATGTCTGTTTGAAGACGACACTTTGATTACAGAATGTAGCAAACGGATCTGTCATTATTAATTCCTTTACTTTTCTCTCTAATTCAAACCTTAGTAATAATTATTTCTACCTTATTCTGTCGCTTTCCTAATAACAGAATAAGAGAAGTTCAAACGGGCGTCTGCTTGAGCGCGCTCGTCAGACTTGTGTTATATGTGTGTCAAAAAAGAAGAAAAAAAAAGAAGAATAAGACTTTTGCCACCCTCTATTACCACTACTACAGCTATTACTGCTATTCATTTTTTTTGTCCCTTTCTCTTCTTTATCGTCGATGACGTTTGCAACTTCTTTGTATTATTTGCATCCCGTGTTTCTGAAAATGATGATGAAAAAATGCACACAACGGAAGGGGCCCGCTTGAGTTAGCGCTCCTTCATTTGTTCGTTCGTTCGTTCGTTCGCTCGGGTTTTTGGTGATGAAGCTGGCACCGATAGAAAATGAAAAGAGAACTACACACACATACATTCATCCAACTGACAGAATAAAACTAGTTGTTATATAGCAAACTCGTCGTTATTTCTTTTTTTTTTCCTTTTTTTTCTTCTTCTTTTTTTTTTCTTGATAAAAATCTGTTGTTTGTATTTTATACGGCATCGATAGACCGAAAGGAAAAGAATGTAACTTCACTCATTCCCTTTTTACTTTGTGTACGGCGACGCCTAGCGTCGAGTCCCGAGGCAGGAAATATGCACGGGAACGACAATAAAAAGGAGGGAAGCAGAAAGAGAAGAAGAAGAAGAAAAAGAAGAAGATGAAGAAGAAGGAGAATAAGGGCGAGTGGGTGTTCCTGTTCTAGTAACGAATGGAAAGAAGAGGCTACGGGCAGATTGAACGCGGGCATGCGTCGAACAAAATTGTCGCCTGTGCTTAATTATGGATGATGGAAAATGGAAAAAGATGGAAAAAAAAGAAAAGAAATAATAGCATGCTGTACTAATCCCCAATGCTTGTATGAGATGATAATCAGAAAGATGTCTACTCATAAACAATCATCACAAAATAGACAGCTAAGCAAAAAAGAAGTACTGACAGATACGAAGATGTGCGCGTGCAACTCACTATAGACTTTCGAGTTGGGACGATGTTCAATAGTGCTACACGCTACTATTTATTTTCGGTTGCGTGCAACAAGCATCATCATCCATCTTTTTTTGTCTCCTTCTGTCTCTATCTCTCTCTCTCTCTCTCACTCACACACTCTCCTCTTCTCTAAATGCCTTCGAGCCATTTTAGCTTAGGTCTGTTTCGTTGACTTGCTCCCATAGAAGCCTAAAAGCTCATTAGTCTAATTGTCTATCATCGTCTACATAACATTGAAAAGCAACTCGAGTGCCATCCGTTGTTTTACATTTTGTGTGTGTACGTTGTCGAGTAGTAAGATCTATTTTGTTCGGTTAGATCGAAGGAAAAAAGAAGGCGGAGAACTTGTCTTATGTGCACACATGCTAGTTGATTGCATGACTTCCGGCCTGTCCATCATGATAACGACGATGCAAGAAGCCAAGTGAACTCAAAAGGAATTGATAGAGACTAGTACAATATACAAAAAGTATGAATAGTTGATGAAAAAAAAAAGAAGAAAAAGGTCAAACTCAATTATAATTAGACATTTGGAATACGAGATGATGAATTTTGTTAATTCAAGAAAGCTAATAAAATAAATTATTGAAAGAAAAAATTTTATATAAATAGGAAAACTACATGTCAGTCTGGCAATAAAAAGTTTACATCAAGTACACTTATTAATTAATCTAAAGTTTCAATGACGAGTCTATTCTTCTTCTTCTTTTTTTTCTAATTTCAAATGTGTTATACTTCGTTCAATAATTATCTGTAATAACCGCAATTATTGAAACACAAAAAAAAAAAAAGAAAAAAAGAAATTGGATTCTTTCAAGCTTGATATATGACAGAGTTGTCCTTGAATACTGTTATATTATTCTGTTGTTGTTATTATTAAAAAATAAGAAAAATGAAAAAAAAAGAAGAAGAAACTCTTTGTCGAATGTATTTTTTCAACATCTTCTAGTGTTTCATACATACACACACATAAAGGGTTTCTTTCAATTTTATTTTACATATTTATATATCTATGCGCATGTAATAGCATTATATTGTTTTGACTATATTATGATGATATTAGTTTTTTTGTTTTTTCCTCATTTTTTATGGATGCACAAGCACAAAATATAATTATGTAAAAAAAATTTGAATATTAAATTTTTTTACCTTCAGCTGAAACCAAATTGAGAAGTTTGAAAAGTTCTCGTTGTACACGTGCATTCAATTCAATAATATCGATACATCGAGATACATTCGTATCACATGAATTCGACTAAAATATATCACCAATCTTTAATGTTTTTATTTCAACTTTAAATGTTGAATAATAGATTTTCATGATGTTTTTTTACCTTGTAGAATTAATTTATTCAACTATGTTTTTCTAGGTTACTAAATAAACATCATCGAACTATCGTAGCTATCATTTAATATCGATATTTTTTTAAAATATATATACTAGTCTTTCTATGATTGTTATTTTAAAAAATACTTACTAAATAGGTATCATTAAGACGAGAAAGTTTATCTTGTAGTAAATTGAATGTACCCATATCATTTAAACGTCGAAGAAAGACTTTTGTCGACATAGTTGATTTGATTATTTCACACTTTTATTGTTGTTGATGTGATTGTAACTATGATTCTCTATTGATGCTTCTGTTCTCAGTACGAATATATTGGTTAATGAGCGATGTTGTAGAGTGCAGCAAGAGAAGAGAGATCGAAAAAAAAGAAATAAACTATTGAAGGAATTTCGATTCTCACAAACCGAGCAGTTAAAAGAACATTTCAACCACCGGCGACCACATTAAATAGAGCAAGAGAAGAAGAGAGAGAGAGAAAGTAAGAGAGAACAAGAATTTTTTTCATTTTCGCTACAAAAGAAATCGCATCTATACGAATTCGAGGTATTTCTGGTCTTGGACGTCGTACATCAGTCAACAACAACAACATATGAATCGATCAATAAAAAAAAAATAAAAGAAACCGAGATCGTTGTTGTTGTGACTTTGACGAATTAGTTAAAGTGCGGTAAAAAAAAAGAAAAATGAGAATGTATAAAAAAAAACCGGAGTAGAAAAAAAGAAAAGAAGAATTAAAAAAAAGTTCTTGTATTCTTTATTTCTATTTTTGATAGACACAATAAAAGATGAAGTTTTTTTAATGAATTTTAAAAGAAGGTTCCTGTTGCAGGAAACCGACATATATACGATCTTACACACCTTTCGTCATTATGTAGATGCAATAATATTGATTGTGGCATGATTTCATTTTTTTCCTGTCATCCACATCATTTCAAGGATCTATTGGTTTTGCCGTCTATATGCGATGCCAATGGCGTAGCAAACTTTTTAGATGACGCGTACGTCAAAGTATGCGTCAAGGTTATCTCTGTTAACAGAATGTGCATTTATTTGAAAAGAAAAGAGATCGGATAATAATCAGTACAATAAATGGACTTTATTAATCCTTATTAGTTTTATTGTAGAACTAATTAGAAAATACAAATCCACATAATAAATCTGTCGTTGTGAATTTATAGAAAATCTTTAAAAGGAAAATACTTAATTGTTCTAAAATTATTTTTTTCTGAATTAAAAATCTAACAATTAAAAATATCTTCCGTTTTCATTCTTATTAATTTTCTTAAAGAAATAAGTGCACTTGAAATGAATAATAAACATTTTCAATTATTCAATCCTTTTAAAACATTTACTAGATGTGCACAGAACTGTGCTAATCATTAACAATGTTAAGCGTTGTACTCAAATAACTATTTAGAAAAAAAGAAGAAAGAAAATATTTTATAAACTTTCTTCAATTGTAGGTGATCATTAGTGTTAACTTGACTTTTTTTTTGCTTTTAAAGTAAACAAAATCGTATCTCAAATAAACAGAGAATAAAATTGATTCCTTTTATCGATAGTAAATAATATGCATACACACACATATAATATTCAAAAGATTAAATGTTTGGATTTAAATATATGCGCGTATCGCTAGTCGTATATTGCCTATTGTAAAAGCCTACAGATAAAAGTAAAAAGTATCGTTTCTTTGATCAAACAATGCATTTCATAAGGAGAATAATACAAGACAAGCTAAAGGCAATATTCAATTGTGTTGTTGGTTAAAATCTTTTAACGTAGTTCGAAATTTCTTATAGTATTCTTTTTTAATCAATTTAATTTTCTTTTTTATTTCTAGACGATACCAAAAAAAGAAACGACAGGCGCACTATAAAATATCAATAACAAACTGATCAATTGCAGTTGTTTTTCTTTAGTTGTTATCGAGAAACTAATACTCTGATGCTGAAATTGTATATCTTCAAAATAAAAGTTTGATTTGTTCTTTATTTACTACATCATTATTTTTTGATCAACATCTTCTTTTACTAATACTTTATTAAAGATGTACAAACAAAGAAACAAGTAAAAAAAAATCCTAATTTCCTTTGATTCCTATTCAACAATAGTTCTCGTTCGTTGACGACGAATTTCATTATATTTAGCGATTTCAAGACGTAGATCTTGTAAATCACGTTGAATATCAGTTAATAATGTTTCTTTTTCTGAAGAAAATTTTTCTTTTTCCGAAGCAAAACGTAATTTTAATTCATCTTTTTTCATTTGAACGGTATTATATGCTTGTTGTTGTAAACGCATACGTTCTAATTCTCTATCATCATGATCAACTTGTGTTTGAAATGGATTTTCAGCTGCATGTTCAATACGTAAAATTTTCTTTAACCATTCATATACATCATAATCAGCATTCATTAATTTGTTAAGTAAATAATTACGAATCATTTGAAGATTACCGACAACTTTTCGACGACTACTTCGCTATTGAAAATTAAAATTATTTTTCTTATCAAAACAAAAACAACAATGAAAATGATTTACCCGAGGATCAATATCACCATATTTGATGTGCATTCGAATTCGAGCAGTCAGCTTAGCAACTGAAAAAAAGAAATTAACAATGAAGGACATATCGAAAGATTTTTAAAGTTTATAGATATTTACATTATTTTACAAGGTAAATTTTAAAGAATAAATTAATGTTGACAAAATGTGTGATAAAAAAAAAGAAATTCCAAATATTTATTAAAATTTTTAAATGATCTTTTATTTTACTCGATGTACTGTTATAATAAAACCTTTTAAAATATTTGAAACCATATTATTTTAAATAAATTACTAATTACATCTGTAGAAAATACTGTACAAATATCGAATTTATCAAAAAAATAATCGTATATCTTATTGAATCGATTAAAAACTAATTGAACATATGAATATGTATTTTTGTATGTGAATAATAATATATTCGATAAATTATATTTAAAAAGTAATAGATTACATATAAAAATTGTTATTACGTTTATTTTAGAAAAACAAAATTTCATGGACGAAATGTTTTGATGAATAAAAATGCAAAGAATTTACTATAAGAATATAATATTTGTATATATAACCTTGATTGAGTAACTATAAAACATCATTTTATGTTAGTTTTTCTTTATCTTTTACTATTAAAATACTCGAATAATTTTCACATGATTTCAAAATCTGTCGATTTATTTATAATAGAAAAAAACTTACTAAGTACTTCATACGATGATTGATCAAGAGGATGACGTTGAACTGCTTTGACTAAATAATTCGAATAATATTCTTCAATTTCAGCCTATTTTAAAAATATTTCATTATTAAGATAAAAAAATAAAAAAACGTTTATATCACATACTCGAGTAGCATATTCAAGTGTAAAGACACGTTTAACAGATTCATCAGCTCTAAAATAAACAATATTTAAATAATTTAAAATCTATTTCAAATGATTACAAACGTTTTTAATTCTTCAGAATTTTCAAAACCAGGTCGTAAAATTTTACTTAAATCAAAATTTGGATACGGATCAATATCACCTATATATATATTTAAGTCTAAATAAATATTTAAACTTGATAAATTCTTACCGGTTTCCCATCGAGGTCTTGGTTTATACATATGTGCAGGTAATACACGTTTGTGTTTTCCTACGATACCAGGTGGTATAGCAGAAGCAGATCGGATCCATAAGAAATTATTAATTAAATTCTTTTGATTGTTTACCAATTGTTGAAAAAAACCTGATGATACTCTTTGTTTTGTTATTAATGTTAACATCTAGATAAATGAAATACGATTTTTTTTCTCTCTCATATTTATGGCAACTAAAAAAAAACAAGAAGTATATGTCTTATGTCTTACTGAATATAAAGCGGAAAAAAAGAAAGAAAGAAAACCACTGATCAATAAAGAAAAGTTTGGCTTATATTTTATCTTTTAGTCAGGTTTATATATTTTTATTTGAATGTTTTTTTTTTGTTCATTTAATCAACTTCAAGATCTAAATCGGTTTGATGTTGATGTTGGTGATGTCCTGCACGAGCACCATTTGACATATTGGCTGTTAATGAATGCATGAGATTTTCTAATGGATTTGATGATGGTGCGGATTTTTGTTTTATACCAAAAAATAATGTACCAATTCGTTCAACATATTGAACTAATGTTGAATCACGTTCAAGTGATGGTTTATATGCATTAACCAATGTTGAAAAACAACGAGTAGTTTCTGACGATGGTAATGCATCTAAATTCAAAAAGAAATAATGAATTTTTTTTATTAAATAGAAAATCTATAGTTATAATTAGCAAACTCTACGAAATACAAATATAAACCTATGAATTTAGTATATCCAGAATTATAGGATGGGAAAAAAAATTCTTTTATCCGAATTTATAATGGACTATTCTCATTACTTGATATTCGTTGAACTATATATTTGAAGGACTCAATAATGAATATCCACCAAAAAATGTTTGACAATGAAGCTTGTAAAAATTCCCTAAAGTCCTACATTCACACACTCAATATTGTCATGATCATAAATTATTCTCGTCAATGGTATTCAAAAAAAAATTTTTATGATTAATTTTCCGGAAATCAAGTGTTAAATTAATATTTCTTTCGGAAAATGATTCTAAATAATCGAATCGGTAGACATAACTAATAAACTCATTGGAGAACAGATCAGTTCATTATTATAATGAAAATGACATTGTTTATGATGGATTTATTATCCTAACTATCGAATATAAAACATCACACGAGTACATAATACACTCGAGGTATTCTGAACTGAGTCAATGATTATTTTTTAGGAGAAGTCTCAATTATGAACAACTGAAATAACGAGATACACAAGCATTATGTAGAATTATATCATCGAATTAAAGAAGTTCTGACGACATTATATATATCTAGGTAGACAATAATCAGTTAAATTTTACCTAAACGCTGATTTGGTTCTCCACTACCTATATTATTATTATTTGTTGGTGCTTTAACAAGTGTCTTTTTCAAACATGATAAAAGAAACCAGAGAAAATTTAACATTGGATAAACTTGATTAAATGGTCCTGGTGGTGGTTGTCGAATTTTTGGATGCTCTTCAACATAAGTTACAAAAACAAGATAAGCGGCATGAAAATTGCGTAATAATAAATATTGTAAAACAGTTTGTGCAATAAATAAATCAAGTTCTGATGGATAACCAAGTGTTTGATGTGCTTCAATTAACATTATTGCAAATGATCGTCCATCATAGGATCGTAAATAATGATAACGACTATCTTTATAATTTTTTTCTTGTTCCCACAGTATACGTGCAAATGCTTCATGTAATTTCGGATGACCAGATTTATGATAAATATGACGTTTTGTTGGTTCTGTTGAATTTGATTCAGTTAATGTTGAAAATATTGTCGCGGAAAATGATGAATTTGATTCTGAACGTATATTAGGTAATTGTTCATCTTGTTGTTCATCATAACGGATATGTGATGACCAACGTAAAGCATTGCAAGCAAATTCAGTTCGTTCATCATAATAAGATTTTAATAATTGATATAAAGTACATATTTGTTGAATAAGATTATCAGTTAAATCATTTATTTTTGAATGATTTAATATTTCTATATAACATTTACATAAATCATAGCCACTATTGGATTGATTATGTTCAAGAAAATAACAGGCTGATTCAAAAAGAAATTTTAAAATACTTGTTTCATCTGTTGATGAACGAAGGCGAACAAATATTGTACGACAAATTTGATGTGCTTGATAAAAATCTTTATTTTGTTTACATTTTTCTAATTTATCATAGAGACGTGATGATGAAGACATGGTTTTTTGTTTCTCTATATATGAAAAATGCACGATAGAACACAACCTTTTAACTAAATTTGTGTTTGTCCGATTGAGAACGAATGCTAATGAGTCATGATATTATCATTTGTTTGCATTAATTAAATTAAATAGAAAAAATATTCTTATTTAAATAAAAATCAACTTGAGAAAAATTGATTTAAAAAAAAATTTATTCATTTAAAATTTATCGAACGCCATCTATTTGAGCGGTCAAAAGGTGAACAACTCACGTTATTAGGAACGAAAAAGCTTTGTTCAATAAGGAACATTGCTTTGTCTCAATAGCAAAAGCAATGACCTTTTTAATTTTAATGTAAAAATTTAGTGTTCAATTTGGTTTTTTTTAAAATTATCATATTTATTAATCATGGGTAAACGAGGACGTCCACCGAAAAGAAAAGTTGTTCCGGCTACACCTGCAAAAGAGGAAGAATGTTATACAATATTAAGTAGTGATGAAGAAATTGGGAAGAAAGATGAAACATTACGTTTACCATCTCCGAGCCAACGACGAGGAGCAGGAAATGAACGCGGTGGTACAATTATTATTACACCGCCAGATCGAACATCATCTTCGAAGAATATCACTGAAAAAACAACACCAGTAACAAGAAAGAGTCGTCAGAAAAAGAAAATAATACTTAATGGCAATAACAAAAAAGATAATACATCCGGTGATAGTGATGCTACGGAAGTGTATGTATGAATAATTTTTATGATTACTAAGACAAGAGAGAAAACGTTTTGTGTGTTCATCACAGCGTGACAATGACAGAGTTGTTTGCGAATGTACTTAAAAAATGTAGGAATTTATATAGATTTTGCATCGCTCATAAACATATAACTTTGAGAATGAATGTTATGGATTAGTACTAACAGATTTTTAGTTTTAATATGAATCTTTATTATCTGAATATGAAGTTTAAGCCTTTGGAAGTGTCCGTAAGATGCTGACAATTCAGAAAAAAGGGATGACGATTATCGTGAATAAAAGTTAAGAGGAAGGTGAAAATATTTTGATAGGTAGATAGATAAGGATAGAGAAATATATAATTCCTTATTGGCAGCAACAAATTAACCAATTTTCAATAAATAGATCTTCGAAACAATAGAGGGCATACGTAATACGAATTAAAATCATCTATATAACACGAATGTTGTCAGGGGTCTAAACGGACCCACACTCTAGTTTTTGACTGCTGATAGTTTTGCAAGAAATTTCATATGGTTCTTATGCATCATTAGAAGACTAACAATTAATGGAGAGATTGCTTCGAATTGCATAGATTTTAAAGTAGAAAAAAACTACTGTGAGTCTCCTGGGATTTACAAACACCTCCGAAGAGTTAATGTGATTAATTGAAATAAGACGGAATTAGAGGATATACATATCGTTTGGAAATCATATTTACATACACAGTAATATTGACAAATCGATTAAAATATCATCATGAACTTGAATTATTTTCTGACAATGATGTCTAGATGTTTATTTATATTCATCTCGGATAAGATATCTTTTTATTACCTTGCGTTTTATTAAAGAGTTCAAAGTCATTATTAATTCTCCTTTTCTTGAACACAACTATAAATCATGTATATCTTATCTCTTGTTTTTTTTTCTTCACAGATATTCTGTTAGTAATGATGATGATGAAGATTACAATGAAAAAATTACAAAGACTACACCATCAAAACGTGGGCGTAAACCATTACCACTTAAAGTTAATCATGATCTATCAGAAAATAGTGATGATGATTTAGTTTATTCACGACGTTCATTGGTTAAACCAAAAAAACGTCAAAAAACTCCATCATCATCATCGATATCCAGTGGTGATAGTCAATCAGCAAAACGTGCTCGTCCACCTACACCAACATTTAAACGTGCAAAAGGAAACAAGAAGAAGAAAGATATCGATGAAACGTCATCATCAGAGGATGTTGTTACTGATGAAGATTATAATACAGATGTTGAAAAAATGGATGATAATGCATTAATTGAAAAAACTGAACGTCGAATGTTAAATGATGAAGATTTAACACATATGACAAAGAAAGCATTAGAAGATGAACGAAACCGTGTACAACGTATTCAAGAACGACAATCACAATTACCACCATCTTCACAAATTTGTATCGATGATGATGAAATATCATTTGATGGTGATACAAAAAAACCAGAAGGAGAAAATGAAGCAAAATTAGTTTTTGAATTTGATCCTACGACAGGTAAACCACTTATCGCCGTACTTCCAGAATTAGTGGCGAAAATGAAACCACATCAATTGGATGGTACTATGTTTCTATGGGATAATGTTTATGAATCAATTGCACAAATTAAAAAAGATAATACCGGTACTGGATGTATTTTAGCACATCATATGGGTTTGTAAGTATTCGTTTGAATATATTAATGTTATTCCTGTCAGACCTGTTAAGAAACCAAAAGGATTTTAGGGAACGAAGTGATATCACAGTTTCGAGAGAAACGTAGCCATAAATTGTAGTTTGTAGCCTTGATATATAAGCGATGATTCCTATTCAAGAAATTTGAAAAAGTTAGATGACAATCTCATAACGAAATTACATTAAAATTTTTCTCAATGAAAAACCCCTCATCATAGATGGTTGACTGATTTTACCGATATTAAATTCTATTGAAAATTAATTCATCTTCTTTTCTTCTTTAGAGGGAAAACATTTCAATTAATATCATTTCTTCATACCGTATTTAAACATAGTGATATAACACGTACATATACTTGTCTTATACTTTGTCCTGTTAATGTTATATGTAATTGGGCAGCTGAATTTTCTCATTGGTTATCAGGTGTTCGTCCATCGATAAAAGTTTATCAATTTTCATTATTTAAAACAAAATCATCACGTTGGGAAAGTTTAGAAAAATGGAATAAAAAAGGTGGTGTTATGTTGATGGGTTATGAAATCTATCGTCGTTTATCAAATGATAATGATTATAATTTTTTCTTATGTGATCCCGGTCCAGATATAATTGTTTGTGATGAAGGTCATGTACTTAAAAATGCGAATGCAGGAATATCAAAAGCATTAAATAAAATTCGTACACAACGACGTATTATATTAAGTGGTACACCATTACAAAATAATCTTAAAGAATATTATTATATGGTTCATTTTGTTAAACCACATTTATGTAAGTTAGACAAAAAAAACAGAATTTTTAAATATAAAAATATTCAAATTTATTTTAGTGGGTACTTATCGTGAATTTAAAAATCAATTTATTGATCCTATTCGAGGTGGACAACATAAAGATTCAAATATATATGCTGTACAATTAATGAAACGACGAGCTTTTGCTTTACATGAACGTTTAAAACATTGTACACATCGGTATAAATCTCATCATTTTATTTCATTTCGAAAAATGTTATTTTGTTTTATTTTAGTCGAGATTTTCATGTTCTTCGAAGATATTTACCAGAAAAATATGAATATGTTATTAAAATATATATGGGTGATTTACAAAAACAACTCTATGATAAATATTTAAAAATACAAAACATTGATCCATCTGGTTCGTTTCTTTCAACATTTGAATTAATTCGAATAACTTTATTAAAATTTTTTATTTAGCTGGTTTTAATACGGCTAAATTATTTGCTGATTATCAATATTTAATGAAAGTTTGGACAGTAAGATTTTAGTGGGAAAATATTTATTGAATGAATAAATAAAAATTTTATTTAGCATCCATGGTTATTACGACCACATTTTATTGATCGATGGAAAAAGCAACAGAAAAAAGATGCAGATGAATTAGATAAAATCGATCCATTTTTTAATGATATTATTGCTGGATTATCAGAAGATGAAACTGCAGGTGAAGAAGAACAAACAAAAAAACAATCTACAGGAAATAAACGACCATCAACAAAAACAGTAAGATAATGTTTATTTTAGATTTTTTTTATATAAATATTTTCCCTTTTTGGAAATCAATGCAAAGAAAAGAGAAAATTGTTTATTTATATGAATATGAGATTATAAACAAAAACTATTGAATATGCAAATAGGTGACAACTGGTGTCATCAGTGATCTACATATCATGAATATGGAGAAGTTGTTTTAAGAATCAAAGAATTTATTCATTAGTGATTCGTAGTACGACATTGTATATAGAATTAAAAATTTCATCGCATAGCGATTTGAGGATAAAGAAATTCTGTGTTTATACATATTTAAGGCAATGTAAATATGGAGCAAGTTTGTCACAATTCAATAAACATCATCTCAGAATGATTAATATGACAGCATATATTAATCTCTCTCTGTCTATAATTTCCACATATTTGAAAATATAAAATACTAATGATGATTTACATAGTTTAGAAAAGAAAACTTTCAATTAAGATGCAAAGCAGAATGTTCTCTCTATTTTTTGTTGTTGTGATGAATCTAATCTTGATTCATTTATTTTATTTTAGAAAACTGCTGGTTCTAATCATCATCGACATAAACATGATGATGATGATGGTAATACAAGTTCAAACTCATCATCATCATCTACGTCGGATTTTTTGGCTTTATTTAATAATACTACTTGGAAACAACATGCATCAACATCATCAACAGCATTATCACGTCCTTCAACGACATCAACAGTATCTCATTCAACAAATGATCCATGTCAAAAAGCAATGCATGATGAATGGTGGTTTTCATTTTTTGAAGATACAGCTGAATATGATATAAGTTTAAGTGGGAAATTAACATTTCTTAAAACATTACTTGATGAATGTGAACAAATTGGTGATAAAGTATTATTATTTAGTCGTTCACTTTTTTCACTTTCATATTTGGAACAATATCTTAAATATTGGGATTCAATTGCAAGTGGAAAAAAAATTCAAGCAGATGATTTTGATGCTAAAGTTAAAGCAAATAGTCGATGGAAATTTGGTATTGATTATTTTCGTATTGATGGTTTGTATTATTATTATTTTTGTTTCTATAAATTATAAAGTAATTTTTCTAGGTAGTACGGATATTGCTACACGAACTAATTATATAACTAAATTTAATGATGATGTTAATATTCGTTCACGTCTTTTTATTGTTTCAACAATGGCTGGTGGTGTTGGTATTAATTTAACTGGTAGTAATCGTGTTGTTATTTTTGATTGTAGTTGGAATCCTTGTGAGTAATCAAAGATAATTTCATTCAAATAAAATATTTTTTGTATGATTTAGCTTCGGATTTACAAGCTTTATTTCGTTCGTATCGTTTGGGACAGAAAAAAACCACATATGTTTATCGATTATTAAGTAAAGGTTCTATGGAAGAGAAAATTTATTTCCGTCAAGTTAATAAACAAGCTATGGCTCAACGGTAAATTTGTTTTCTTGAATAAGAATGATCGTTAATCTTTTTGATTTGTTGTTTAGTGTTGTTGATGCTCAACAACTTGCTCGACATTTTACTGAAAATGAATTACGTGAACTTTATTCATTTAAAATGGATGAAGAAGAACCACAAGAATATCTGTCCAAACGTTTACCAGATGATATTATTTTAAAACATTGTATAGATAAAAATCCTAAATTAGTACAAAATATTCTTGAACATGATTCTTTACTTGAAAATCATGTAGAAGAACAATTAACACGTGAAGAAAAATATTATGCTCTTAAAGAACTTGAACGTGATGAACGACAAGCTGAATATCAATCAAACGTCGCTAAAACTTTAGCGGCACTTGGACAAAATAATAATCATAATATTAATAATAGTAATATTAATTTTCCACAAAGTAATTCCGATTCAAGTTCTAGTGAGTCAAGAAAAGATCGAAAATTAATTACAATACCACCTATAAATCAATTTAATCCATATCAACCACCAGCACCTATGTGCGCACAAGCTCGTGCTGGTATGTCAACAGCACAAGAAGCACGTGGTCTTGAACGTTTAACTGAATTATTATTTCCAAAAGAAGCTCCGCCACTTCCTCCTGGTAAAGCAGCTGAGTTACCACCATTAAAAGACTTAACTGATATGCCTGTTTCGAAAGATGAAATAGCTGATATTGATCTTGATGATGAAGAATTTGATCCACGAACAAAAAAAGAAAAACAAAAAGCTCTATTACAAGAACAACGAGCACTTGTTAAATTATATAATGATAAGAAAAAATTATTAAATCCTCCAAGAGTTCCGAAAGTACTAAAACGTCCTAAGAAGACTGTACCAGTTAGTACATCATTTGTTACAAATCCATATCAATTTATGCCACTTACACTCAATCCATTTGATATGCCACCTAATATGCAAAAACGTCCAGATTAAACTTTTTTTCTTTTGTCTGATAATTTGTAGATACTTTAGTTTGTGTTATTTCGAAAAAAAATAAAACAATGTGAATTTGCCTAGTCATTGGCACTGGTTTTCTTTTCTGTGTTGTAAAATGTAGTAATATGATTTTTCTTTTTGTTGTTTGCTTCTTTTTTGCACCGGTTTTTTAAACGATATATCTTGTTGTTATCGCTCCTTTGTTTTTTCTAGGTTTAGAATTTTGTGTTAGAATTTTGTTGTTTTGTTAGCATTGGTTTTTTGTTACCTTTTGTATATATATAAAGATTACTTCAATTGACATTTTTTTGTCTTGAGATCAAATATATAAATAGTATAGCTATCAAAAATCTTATAAGAACACTTTAAAGTTTATATGGCTCTTATAAGGGTATTTTTGTGTATAACTTTTCTTGTTGTCCAAAGTGTAATAGTTTTACATGGACAAACGACATGTCGATTTGCGGATTTATTTACTATAGATGAACTTGTTTCGGATCGAAATAATGCTATTCATCGATTTAAAATGCATATGTGTTTATGGGAAGGAAAATTTGGTAATGGAGTTGGATATAATCATGAAATAGGTATTACTTATGATGGTCATAAAATTGATTATACAACTGGTGATTTACATGAAAACTTACAATATTGGACAGCAGCATCAAAAGAAGCATTACATATTAATATACTTGCATTATATTTTATGGATAATATATATGCACAACAGTTTTTTGGTAATGCATCTCAAAATGATGTCATTCAAATTTTAGAAAGAAAAATTGAATCATATAATGATTTTCACCGACGATATCCCGGTTTCGGCGGATTTTTACCTTGGTTTGCTGCAAATGGTACAGCTATGAATTTATTGGGTGGTTGGGAATCAAAAGTACCTGGCCTGGATAACGGGCAATTGATATGGAGCATTAAAATATTAATTGATGTACTTAAAAATAAAAATTTAATTTCTTTAGCTGATAAATATGAAAGACGTTTAGAACTTATGACACTAACAGCAATACCTGTATTTTATGAAGCTCGAAGAGGTGGTCTTCGTTGTGAATCACGTATATTGAATCTATTTAATGAAAGTCAAATGACAAATCCAAATAATTATGAAACAAATGGTGACTGTTTATTAGATGATCCATATGAAGGTATATCTATATATATGTTTTTGTTTCTAAATTAATCTTTTACTTATTTTCATTAGGTGAATTAATGACTTATTATATGGATTTATATGCACCATGGACATTCTATAATTATACAATGGAAGAACGTAATCGTCTTTGGGAATATAAACGTGCTCGTCTTGTTCGTGATGAATACAATACAAGTACTAACAATCCACAACAAGTAACTGTTCAACGTGGTTTTTGGTTTTCAAGTCATGAACAATGGAAATATTTATATTTACCATATCAAGATATTGATCTTCAAAAACGTCTTTTTATTAGTGGAGAAAAAGTACGTGTACATCATTCAGCACAAAATCGTATACCAGGTCTCTATGCTAGTGTAGCATCAGATGCTAAAGTTGGTACTTATCAAGTTGATTATTATAGTGCATGTGGTATTCAACAAATTGCTTTTCAACCAGTTGAACATACATCTGTTATTACACCTTATGCAAGTTTTCCTGTAATTATGGCTAATGAATCGATTGGATTAGCATGGTATTTAAATATGCTTCAAGGTCCAGCTATGCAGAATATGTATGGAAGTACAGAAGCAACAAATATGAATGGTTTAACAATATCACCAGTTATAACATGGGATTCAAAAATAACAACTGTAGTAGCTATGCTTAGTTCTCATTTAATTAATGTTACTCGACAAATTCTTACACGAGATCAAACTTATCAACGATTTTTTAATATAACTGAATATGAATGGTCACGAGTATTTGGTTCCAAACCATTATTAGGTGAGGATCTTGCATGGTCATTACCTTCAGTTCAAATTCCTCGTTCACCTAATGGTTTACCAGATTTTACTCAATGTCGTAATGCATTGACAACTACATCATCAACATCTAGTTCTACTCAACCAATTTCATTATCTGTCCTTCATAAACCTTCTTATATCACCATTTCGATCTTATTATTTGCTCTTTTTATTCTTTTATTGAAATAGAAACAATATAAATGCGTATATCACCGATTTCTTGTTACCTTTGAAATGTTGTGTCATCATGTTGATCATAACAGAAAGAAGGAAAGAAAGAAAGAGAAAAAAATAGCGACGAAGAGTATTCGTCAATAGTATTTAATTCGATTTTACGCATTTAAAAAAACATTGCCTGTGTCATGTAGCTTTTGTCAGGTACTGTCAACGTATGGAATATTGTTTTAGAAATATAAATGTTCTTTACTAATGACTAACATATATCGAATGTACTGGTTTCATGTTTTCTTATGTAAATCTCTCATTAACATTCATAAGAACGAAAGAGGTGTTGAAAGAAAAAAGCAAATAAGAAAAAAAAATAGTTGACTCAAAAAATAAAAGCAATTTTTCTTTTTTTTTCTCTTTTTTATTCTCTCTATATATTTATGCTACGTTATCTATTCTTTCAGAAGTTAATATAGAAATCCAATAAAAATGGGTTCAGAAAGTTTAAGCCATAGATTTTTAGCTGAAGATCCAACATACAAAGGCAAATCACCATATGCATCAAAAAGTGACGATAAGAAATCAACATCTCATCATTCGGTGTCTCATACATCTGGAACACATCCTGTAGCATTAAGTAACGGTCCAAATTCTTCATCTCCACCAACAGCATCAAAAATCAAATATAAATATAAATCACACCCCAAATATAAAAAACTGTACAAAGTTTATAAAAAACAATTAGCTCATATGGAAACGACCGTCAATGCAATTGATTCATTATCAAAATCACCATCTACTAATCAAGATCAATTACTTACGTCAATAAAAAAACGTATCGATGAACTTAATGAAAATCTCGACAATTTAAATGATACACCATCATTACAAGATCATATACATTTTGATCCAATAAAAGTTGAAATTAAACAATTACTTGAAGATTTAAAATCATACAAATTGGATAATAAAAATTCAAATTCAATAAATGCTATTGATCATTTAGTTGGCCTTTCATTGAATGTGTCTGATAGTGACGATAACGAGGAAAACACTACACTATAGTATATTTTTAACTCAGTCTATACATGATCTCTTTTGTAATTTAAGTCTTTTTTATTTGTGATATTTTCGTGTTACTTTACATAGCTTCTGTTATAATTTAACTATCTGAGTAAATTCATTCCAGCTATTACTATTTATTGAACAAATTTTTTAAATGTAAAATTTACCTTTGCATTTTATCATTATAAAAATAAAGAATTTTATATATAATTATGTATATGAAAGAATGTTGCATTTCATTGAAATAATTGCATACATATTATGCATTAATTGATCCTGTCGTTTGTTCGATTGAGAGTGTGGGTGCGGATGAATTCCACACCCTCAAAATCCAATTGCATATAATCTCTTTTCGAGAACATTTTCATACATTAGACAAAAATTTGACTTTTCTGGACTCATGAAATATATTTTGTCTAACAAAAGATTTGAAAGATCAAATTCTAGTTTATTAAAATTTAAGAAAAAAAAAGCAGTTCACATTTTCGTATTTTTCTGTGTTTCTTTTGCTTCATGTTTAAGTGAAGCTTGTTTTTCTTCTAATTCCTTCTGTTTTAGATTATATTCATCTTGCATTGTTTTAATTTCACGACGTGTTTCTTGTAAATCATCTTCTTCTGTATTTAAATCTTTTAAATATCTTGTTAATAAATCTGATTGATTGATTTTTTCTAATGATTTTATATTTTGTCGAATACGATCTTGATTTTCAAATATTGATTTAATATGTGCTTCACGTGATTTAATTCGTTTATCTAAATCACGTATAATTAATTGTAAATCAACAATCGTAACAGCTTTATCAAATAATGATGTTGGGATTAAATCACGTTTTGTTGTCCATGTTCGAATTTCTCTATCTGTTATTGTATTATCACTCATATGTCGAAGAACTTGTTCAACATATTTACGTGTAATTATTTTTTGTATTATATTAATTGTATTTTCATCAATTAATTTCGATTGAATAAGTTCAGGAACTTGTTTATCTAAGAATATTTCTAATCCAGTTGCTTCAAAAATCTTTTTACTATTTTGTGCTTGTTCATCAACAATAAATTCGATTTCTTCTTGTGGTTCAAGTTTAAATTCAAAACGACTAAAACCCATAACAGATTTAATACATTTCTTTTGTGTTGTTACAACATAACCACCTAATGATGGATCAGCAACATGATCGATGTAAAATTTTGCTACAGGACGATTAAGAGAATTATTTTTAATTAAATAACGTGTACGTTTTATATAATTTTCTTGTAGATCAATACCAATTGGAATTATACGTGTATCAATTTTATTTGCTTCGGAATAAACTATATCAACACTTTGTGTATGAACTTCTTGAAGTGATAATGGCGTTGTACGAAGAATAGAAACAGTTGAATCAAAACCATAACTATAATAAATCATTAAATAAAAAGATGAAAATTATTTTCTTATTTTAATTTACTTAATTAATTGATCATCATCAGGTAACATTGGTGTAAAAGCACATTGTGCAACAAAACGTCCATTATCTAAAACAGCAATACTTCCAGGTGCTAATACAACACCACTATTATTTCGTAAATGAACAGCTTTAATTGCATTTAAATCATTAATTTTTGGATCGTAATAAAGTACTAATTGTGCATCCATATGCCATTTATTAATTGTTACCAAAGCACTTTCATGTGATCGAATGGTTACTGGTGTATTAATTGTATAAACAACATGTTCACTAAGACCACTCATTTGACTGGAATCAATTGATTCATAATTTTCATCGTCATTAACATCAATAACACGTTTTTTACCACCCTTTCCTTTACCTTTAACAGAACTTGAACTTTCATCTTCAACTGGACCACCACGTAATCGAAGTACCAAATGTAAAGTTGATTCTACATATATAAAATAGAGAATTTCAATTTATTTCTTAATATTCTAAATTACCTTTTTGAATATTATAATCAGCTAATGTTCTATTATCTTCCAGTTGTTTACCAGCAAATATCATACGTTGTTGATCAGGTGGAATACCTTCTTTATCTTGAATTTTTGTTTTAACCATTGCAATTGTATCACTTGCACTAACCTGTCATGAATGAAATATAATAAATAAAATATAAACAAATCCTTATTTCTACATACTTCCAAGGTAATTGTTTTGCCTGTTAAAGTTTTAATAAAAACCTGCATACCACCACCAGAAGATTCTGAAATGCATTCTTCTTTTTCTGTATCACGACCAGTAACTGATGTTGTTGTTTTATTGTTATTCAAAATTTCAAGTTCATTAGCAATAAGTACAAGTTCAATTTGAGACCAATCTTCTTCTGTTGGATTTTGAACTGAACCAAATAAAGTTAAATCAACTTTTGATGTATTATTATTTGCTATAGATGAATCAATTTCACATCGATATAAACAACGCCATTCTTTTGTTGCATAACAATATGATACATTAAGCATATTTGATTGATCAGGTATACTTGTAGTAACGGCTGTAGATGATGGTAATAAATTATTTGTATTGAATAAAATTCGAATATAATCCGATGATGTATTCATTACTGGTTTGTGATCATCTAATGTTTTATTTAAAACTTTTTCAAGTTGTTCTTGTAAATATGTATCCGTAAGTTTAATACCATCAATAGAATTAACTAATTAGAAAATATATTTTATACCTATATGTAAGATTTCATATTCTATACTTACGATCAAAATGACGAATAAATCCATCTTTAGTTAATATTCGAACAATATGATGTTTTGATACTTCCGATGAATTTGGACTGAGTAATGTTGGTATTTCATCAAGTAAAACTAGTTTACCTGTTTGTTCTTGTTTATTTCCATTAACAGATAATACAACTTCAGCTCCAATGCACGTATTAAGAAATGTGGCAAATGAAGTTGATGATGAAAAATCATTGAAAGTAAAATATCGTTCAACTGTATTTTCGGCTACAAATTTATCATGCTCTTCTGTATCATATGTCACTGTATCAGCGGTTGTACATAATGTATCAATCACTAATTTCTTCTTCTTTTTAGCGACTTGAATAGCAGATTGTGATTGTGATCGAGGAGTAGCTCGTTCAAAATAACCGAGATCATTTTTGTATAAAGTAATACGTTTTAAAGGTATTGTTGTCGTTGACATTATTTACCGTGAAGAAAAAAATATTTAGAGTAAAGCATATTTTTTCTTCGTCTGTTTTTATACTCCTGTCATAGGATTGTCAAGGTATGGTGAAATTATAACTTGATGAGTCATTCTCTACGTTAATAATAAAAGGAAAAAAAACTAATTCCTTATATGTATATGAATGTATATTTCAGTAAATTCTTGCTGTTAGTGAATGAAATAATTTCAAGATTTGTATGATTCAAATTTGTTCTTTTCTAGAAGTTATTAGTGATATAAAACTGGGTGTGTATGCTACATATCCAGTTTTTACCCAATAAGATTGGAGAGTAAGAGAATGATTTAAGTAAATATCTTGTCATGCCTAGATTCTAAAAATAGAACAAAGTTGTTTTTCTTTTTGCTTTACATATTTCTATAATAAATATTCTCAAGTAAATTTATTTATCAATAAATAATTTTTACAAAAATATTTTACATAGTTTTTAAGATATAGAAATAATTTGTCCAAGTCCAGTTGATATTTCTTTACTTGGTTTTTTACCACTAAGTAATCGATAATAAACAGTTGATACACCCGTAACTTCAATTTGAGCATCATCTGTAGCTGCTACTCTTACTGTGCTTACTCCTGATGAATGAACTTTAACTTGTTTAGCTAATAAATTCATAGCATTAACATCACCAACTCCTTTTGTGTCGAATAATGCTTGTTCCCGTACTTGACCCCAAAATCGACTATTACCCGTACCAGATAAATATACTTCTAATTCATAAACATTTAAATGCATAGCAACATTAGCTGTACCACGATTTTCTAATATAAATTTGTCATTGCCTGTATTTGATATTCCATGATCATCTGTTATTGTATTACCCGTACCTTTGATTGTATAACGTCGTAATGGCGAATGAAATTGAATATAAGCATTAATATTTTTATGAACAACAAATGGACGTTTAAAATGAATTGATAAAATATGATTATCAAGAATTTCAATAAGAATATGTCTTTGAGCAGTAACTGTTGTTTCTAATTCAACTGTAGGAAGAGATACTCCATTTGATTGACTCAAATATATATCAAAAGCTCCATCAATAACAATTTCATCGAAGAAATATGATGGAAGTGGACGATATTGACGAACGATAGTTTCATTCCATTCACATTGAATTAAGGTGACACTAACGATAATAATAAAAATCGAAGAAAACATCTAAATAAACATTAATTAAAATATGAAGAACAATTAATACTTTCTTAAAACTATAGAAAAGTTGTGACTAATAAAAATCAACATAACTAAAAACTCCAGTTAGTTAACTTTTGAGTAATGATTGCTTTGACTAACAACAATGATTTAATTCTTATCTTATATATATATGTAAGTGTACAAACAAAAGAATGAAATTGTGTAATACATTTTGATGTATAAATACAAGTGTACGTGAGCATATTACAATAGAACAAAAAAAGGAATTATCGTTGTCGTCAATTTGAGAAATATGCCAAGGCTTAACCTTGCATTTAAATGTTACTTATTTAACCTCAAAATGGTATATAATTTTCAATGGTCAAGGTAAATGTTAACATATAACAATATAGTTCAAAATTTTATAAAAATTTTAATTAATTTTTTTTTGCTTTTGAAAATTTCAATGATATTATAAGAAATAAATAATAATGTTATAAGTAGAAAAGCAATAGATAGAGATATATTTATTCCAGTTTCTTCGAATGATTATATGACCAATGGATAAAATATACAATGCTCTTCTTTTTCTTTTTCTTTTTCCAGTAATCAACCGTTGAAAAGTCATGTCTTCTCGAATGTGCAACACACTTATCTTCTGATGATGATGATGATGAATAAAGAGGAAATATTCTTCTTCTATCTAGAAAGTGAGCTGTCTGGGTCAATGATCAATCATGAGGATATTTCCTCAAGCATGAGTATTTCTCTATCATATTCATTACTATAGCCATCTGCTGAATAGACTGACCTTTTTCTTTTTTTTTTGCCTTTGCCTATCTATATGTGTGCATCACTATTCCATTACTTGTTGAACTTTATTATTTAGAATGCTATATTATTTCTAATGCAACAAAATTGAAACAAAAAAAAAACAATGTTTTCATTATTTCCAATTGTTCTTATATCAGCAATCATTATTAAATCGAATGGTATTCCAGTTCTGAATAATAATGTAACTGATGTTAATAATACTGACTCTCAATTTCGTCTTGTATGTGATCGAAATACTCCATCGACCAGCAATGATAGTTTATATGAGGTAATTATTGAAATTATATCCAATATTGTTTGATTTTTTCCAAGTTTAGCTTTTAAATACAACTCAATTCTGGTTTATCTTAGCTCGAAGTAAATTTGCCTATGGCGAACGAACATGGAACAATGTTCTTATGCAAACAACAAAAACATCTAATGATACAGTTTATTTAGATTTTATAGGAGAAAATAGGTAGCTGATGTTCATTTTTTTATTCCTTAAAATGTTTTTTTCTTCTTCTTATTAGTAATGGTACTTGTATTAATTCAGAAAAAGGTGAAATTGTTTCAGATACAAAATCAAATCGAGTATCTATTCATTGGTCAGATAAACAAGGTAATTCATATATAAATTTTTGTTATTATTTTCAAATTTAACTCTATAAATAGGTTTTGTGGAAATGGTCTATAGTGATGAAAATTTAATTCATTTAATGCTATGTTATTCAGTTGAGTCGAATACAACTGATATTTGTGCTCATAATCAAAGTGAACAATTTGTTATACAAAAAACCGAAGAATATCAAAATGATTCAATAGTATGGTTAAAATCTCATTGTTCTTCTCTTAATCCAGATGACTTCATTGTCACTGATAACCCAAGTACATAGAAAAGACTATTATTTTTTTTCTAATTTGTTTTTATACATTATTATTTTTATAGAAAAATGTGTACCAGTTGTTTCTCAACCAGAAGTTATTGAAGTTAATACAATAGAACCACTGAAAAATGACAATATAACAATTTTTCAAACAAGTAAAAGCAACAGATTTGATTTTTTTGTTTTCTATAGATTCTCATTTATAGCTTATATAATAATTGGTGAACAAGAAAATGTAACTGTAACACCAATGCCTGAGTCTGAATTTACTACACGTACAAATCGAACGAATCGATTGGAAATTCTTGAAGAATATTACAATAAGACAACTGGAAATTCTACTGATGAAGAACATGTTGAAGAAACGACAGTTACAAATATCAAAGAAATTTTTGTATTATCAGCAAATGCATCAGTTATTGATGAATTAAATCGAACAAATATAACCATTATTGAACCGATTGGTAAGTAAAATAAGAACTGTTGTTTTTATAAGTAATTCAAGAAATAAAATATCATTTTAGAATCTGTTGGAAATGAAACGATTGATGAAAAATATCCTTTAGTTATATTAAATCAAACAGTAATAGATGAAGCTGTAAAAGAAATTTTATTAGAAAATCTGGAAACGACAGAAAATATTCCGACTAAATCATTAGAAATCCATAATTCGACTGAATTTAATCTTAATCTGACTACATCAATTCATTCTGTAACCACAACAATACCTACTTTACATACGGAAAAAGAATTTTTAAATGAAACAACTAAAACTTCTCTCGTGGAAAATTCAACTATATTAATGAATACAAAATCTGAAGTACATACTACTCCTATGATGGAAATTACAACTGAATTAATGACAACTACCGAAGCAACAACATCAACACCTGCTATACCTGCTGATTGTCCAATTTTAAAAGATTGTCAATTTGATTATTGTGCATTTGCTCGCAAATTTGATAATCGTGGATGTCCAACATGCAATTGCGTTCAATCAAATAAATCAAATATAACCTGTCCAACATTAGCTTGTCAAGCATGTCTATATGGGCATCATACAGATCCTAATGGAGTATATACATATAATTTCTCTCTCTCTCTATATATATATATGTTTGTTTTCCTAATTATTTCAGTGTTCTGTTTGTCAATGTCAAAGTCGTCCATATCCATTATTAGGTGAACGTTGTCCATCATTAAGTTGTGAACCATGTTATTTTGGTACAGTTAAAGATGAATATAATTGTGATACATGTGTATGTATTCGACCAAATAATCAAGAATGTCCAGTACTTGATTGTACATTTGGACCATGTAAATATGGTTCAATTAAAGATGAAGATGATTGTCCAACATGTGATTGTTTATTACCAACAAATAATACAACTGAAGTTAATTGTTCAACATCTATTGCATGTCCTTCATGTCATCTTGGTAAATAGATAAAGATTTATATTCAATAAAAAAAATATATTTATCTACTTTTATATATATATTAGGTTATGTAAAAGATGCTGATGGATGTCAAACATGTCAATGTAAATTACGTGGTAATGTTCCATGTGCATCAATTTCATCTCAATGTTATTGTGATTATGGATCTTATTTAAATTCTGACGGATGTGAAACATGTTCATGTTTACCGGATCCGAAAAATGCTTCACGGTACATTTAATGACAAAATTTTAAATAATATATACATATTTGTTTTATTTAATAGACAAGCATGTTGGGAATTATCGAATCAAGCAAATTTTCATAATATAACTGGACCATCATGTTCATTAGATGGATCATTTTATGCACGTCAATGTGATAAAACACAATCGAAATGTTGGTGTGTTACACCAACTGGTCTTCACATTACTGGATTTGAATCAGGACCAGACGAGAATGTTAATTGCGGTAAACATTTATTTATTTAGTAAAACAAAAATTATATGTAGTTTGTCTATATTATTATAGCTTGTGCAGTTGAATTATATCAAGTCTCAAGTCTTCGTATGATTGGTCATCATTTATTATGTTTATTAAATGGAAATTATGCTCCTATTCAATGCGATGGTCGTTATTGTTCATGTGTTGATGAAAATGGTAAAGCAATAGGACCAAGTGTATCAATTCAAAATCGTGATCAACTTCGATGTGTTGGTGTTTATCAACAACTTCATCCAGGTATTTTAGAAAAATATTTATAATTAATTTACTTTTTGTCTTTTATTAAATAGAACGATTTATATCACATCGATCAAGTATTATAGAAACAGATCATTCGCGATTACCATATGGAATTTCTTCATCATTATGTTTAAAACATCTTGAACAAGTTCGTAATGCAAATATTACTGATGATCATATTCTTATTCCTGTAAGTTAAAATATCAAATTAATTTGTTTATTTTTATAAAATAATATAGGAATGTGATATTAATGGTTTATATTCATCTGTACAATGCGATCAAAGTGAACGATTTTGTTGGTGCGTAGATAAAAAAACAGGTGTTGAAGTAGATGGTACACGTCGACTCAATGCACGACCTAATTGTATTATTCTCTAATTAATTAGAAGAATCATATATTAACGAAATTTTTGCTTTATTAGTACATATGTCGGATTTTATTGTGTGTATTAGAAGATATGTTCTTCATTCTGCAGTGTTTTTTTTTCTTTGAAGTACAGGGTGGTCTATAAGTCCTTTTACCAAAAAAAGAAATTGAATATCTTCATTATGGCTCGACCAAACGGATTCATTTTTTTTCTAATCAAGGACAGAGACATGTTTACATTGCAAATCTATATAGACAACGTAGGTGAGAACCTTCATTAATTATTACTAATTCATAGATAAGAAAAGAAACACAATCTACTTAATATAAGTTCTTACTAATCTCGTCCGTATTTATTTGAAGTATGAACATGTCTTTATCCTTGATAAAGTGAATTTTATACCATCCTGTATTTGTAGCATGTAAACAGTTTAATAAAATATAATGAAAAAGTATATTGACGTTTTTATGTCTAATACGATTATGATTTATCATCAAGAGTTATTTCATCTTATATTCGTCAAGTAACCATGAGTAAAGTGCACTCAATACTTTTAATATCGTATAGAGATTGGTTATCATTATATGGTCTCTTATAATATTCTTTAATAACAAAAGTAATACATGCTGCTTTACTTCAATCAAGAATAAATGTTTGAGTTGCATTCTTTCGTTTTTTATCATTGCGTAATTGTGTAAATCGTCTCAATAATGAAGTTCATAGAATTAAATATATAATAACACTTCTAAGATTATAAAATGTTGAAGATATAATGCTTATATATGTATATATATTCAACGTAAAAAAATTAATAGTAATTTGAGGGTGTGTGGGAATGAATGGCAAAATTACTATTAAACAATAACTAATTTATTTAATATTAAATTTATACATCATTTTCAATAGTTAGTTTCTCTATTGTAATTTCTCTCGTCTTTATTTCGTCCTTCACGTTTTTTTATACTTCTTCATACAACTATAGAAGTATTCAGGTGCATTTTTTTGTTCTTAAAATAAACGTAACTACAATGTAAAATAATTCTAGAAAGAATAAAAAAAAAGCATCACTGTGTAATAATACTGAATGACTTCTCTTCACTACAATCACGCGTAAACACACCCCCAATCTTATCGGCACCCCTTTTTTTACGTTGTTTCTTTTCACTCGAAACTATAAATAAGTAATGCGTTTTGCCAATACTCATTTATTTCAAACTTTTTCTCTTAAACTTCTTACAAACGCACAAAAGAAACAATGTCTAGTGCTACTGCCAACCAAGAAACTGAAGGTGGTTCATTTAAAAATGTTGTAGACAATCCAGAAACAGCACCAAAATCTCATACCTATGCTGAAAATGAATCGCATCCACACAAAGAACATACCCACCATAAATGTACTCCTGGTGAAGGGGATCATAAATCATGTGAAAGCAAATGTGGTAATTACGAAAAGAAATGATTTTTTTATTTTTATACAATTAAAATTTTTTTCTTACAGCCAATCAAGAAACTAAAGGTGGTACATTCAAAAATGTTATAGACAATCCCGAAACAGCACCAGAATCTCATAAATATGCTGAAAATGAAAATAATAAATGTAGCTCTGGTCAAGGCGAACATAAACCAGGTGAAAATAAATGTGGTAATTGCGACAAGAAATGATTTTTTATCTTTGTACAATTAAATTTTTTTTGTATATACAGTGATTATAGTTAGTATTTTAAATAAAAATAAAGATTTACTCTAAAACTATGCCCTTTGTGTTATATTTCTATTTCGTACAATCGACTTTGAAATTGTTCCATCACTGTAAGAATTGTACCAAATGAACCATAAGATAACAAATGTACCATAATGTAATTTTGATAATTAAGTTAATGCATAGAATAGTATAGAACAATTGTTTAGCCTTGTCATTTATTATTTATACTGAACAATTTCATAAGAGAACATATGACATATTAAGACGATAATTAAATATATTTTTTGTTTTGATTACATTTAGAGGAATGTTGTATATTATTGTTTAATTTTAATTAATAATATTGACAGTGATTACAATTACTCGATTGTTTTTTTGCACTAAAATATAAGAAGTTTTCTTTCAGTATTGAATAATATTAAGACTTATCAATTCTATAAATTATATAATCGATGAATATAAATTAAATGATGAAACCTAAAACCTTTTTGAACTTATTCTTTGTATTAAACATATCTTTGTTGCGTGCTTATGATTATGTTTAGATCGATCTATCATAGAAATGATGTTTAATCCTATTACTCATGACAATTTTAATTGGTAAAAAATTTTTTAATCGATTATTCATTATTCTCATTTAAATTTGACATAAATCTCATTTATGTACTTCGATTATATTCTCTGTTATTACAATACTATACGACTGTCATATCACGAAACTATAACGATTGTTTTGATTCTTTTTTTCATTAGTAAGATAGAATGATACTTTCGAATATACTCTGAATGTCATGAGGTAATTGGATAATAACGATGATAGATGTATTATATAATCATCTTCTTGATTATAATGTTTGAAAGCTAAATAATACTTGAAAGTAAAAAAATATGAATGAATTCAGTGATTACTCAAGTAGTCTATTTCAAAGTAAAGTTTATCATATTAAAATCAAAACTATTGATAATTATAGTTCTTTTTGAAGAAATAGAAAAGATTAGTTGATTATTCACTAGTTTTTTTCATTAATATTAATCTTTATCCGATTAGAATTAAGATTAATGAATATTGTTTTTATTTAAGAAATTGAATTTCTCTTAATTCTTATCTAAATATAATTGATAGACTTTATTTTCTAGTCTTACAAGTTGATGACTGTTAGACTTGTTAAGATAAATGTTCGTTCGTTGTCAAAATGATTATTTATCAATTTGGTATGTTTGGGAATGTCGTCGTCGTCGTCTAGCTAAGAGATATCAACAGCTGTCACTTTAACCACTGCTTTTATCATGGTCGTCGCCTTGATCTGTTTCTCATTGATCGATATTCTTTCATGAAGGACATTGATGACGTGCGAATTGATGTATATTTATAGCAATATATACATATATGAAAGTATTAGAAAAAAAAGATGCGAAAGTAAATAGATAAAAACATTGAATTATAGTACGTTATATTTAGAGCAACATACTAATGGATAATAATTATCTTTCATGTCAGAGAAATATCTGTAATTAGTAAAAAAATCACTTAGCATTACAACTATTTAAATAGTAATAATATCTATAGAATTGATGTTTCCTTTATATTACATAAAAAAAATATTTAAGTGATCTATTTGAAATGATTAATTGAATATTATATTTTATCTTGAATTGTTGTTGTTATTTTTATCTTATAGTATTTTCTTAAATGTCTTCGTTTTCGGTCTGATACAATACATTAAATGTCATTATCTAAATTATTTTAATGGTCACTAATTATTAATTGTGCACAGCATATGTTTTGTTTGTTTATATACTGACATATTGTTGATCACTCAGTCTGTCAAGCAACTGTGTTTAAATGGTTACTACCCATAGAGTTATATATAAAACATTACATCAGTCATAAGATACTTTTTATACAATCATAAAAGTTGGCATGTGTCAAGAAAAGGTTTCATTTCATTTCTTCTTCTTCTTCTTCGTCTTTTTTTTATGAACGACAAAACCTTGCATGTTCTTAAATTTATATATAATAAAAACAAATCGAGTGATATATAAGAAGGTTTTAGTATTGAAAATGCACTTATCGATAGTACTAAATGATATCTCATACGATGGTTGATATAATTATAAGACCATATATAAGTGTCAACGTTTTTTTGTGATGTAATATATATACATAATTGTATATTATGGACAAGTAAAATTCATGCAAATAAAATAAATGAACATTTGTCCTTGTTTGATCTACTTGACACTTTTTTTTCTTCGTTTACTGATATGCATACAAGCTCGATTGTTCTCTTCTTACTGCATTTGTACATCCACTTCTTGTTCTTCTTCTTCTTCTTTCATTTTTTTTCTTCTATACTTTATGTTAATACATTAATGTAAAGGTAATGTGTGTGTGCATGCACATCAATATTAGATACATATGCGTGTGTAGACAACTTGGTAAAAACGATTAGTTTATAACAACGATTACATTCACACGCACACAACAAGAATTACGTTAACTATGCTATCAACATTATAATTGTAACGTTGACTATGAGCTAGCACTATTACATAATGATGCTTTAGGCAAGTAGAAATTGAAGAAACAGAAGCCGTTCATTGCTTTTATCAAGACTGGAGACAAAGATAGATAGGTGATTCTGGATATTACAAAGAACAAAAGTATTTTTTTCTTGTTCTTCTGCTTCTTCTTTCTTTTTTTATCTGTTTTCTTGACACGTCTCATGCTCATTAATCTTATATGTTCTATGACTAATCGAAATTGTTGAAGTGATGATCGACTCTATAAGATGAAGGATCATCACTCGTAGAATAAAAGAAATCTTGTTTTTTTATCCATCCATATAATTACAAAGCAACATAAAAGATCAAATAATTGAAGCTTAGGTTCATTGCAATTATCTTCGATTGATATCATTCGTGAAAGGATAATTATAACATGAATCTATTATTTTGTTTCTCTTACTTCTTTCATATTCACTTCGACGTATATATAGTAGATTTTGATACGGTTATGTGTTTTTTTTTCTTCTTCTTCACACTTCTATATTTTAACTCATCTCCTAGTGAGCTCTTTATGCACGCATTGGTATGCGTCATAAGGTGAGCGATAAAGAATAGGTTAATTACCACTTAATAGAAATGAGAGGTAGGAATAAAGAATGTATTGATTAACTGAGTGGGAGAGAGAGAATAATCAAGGGAGAAGTAGCAAAAGAATATGCTTACATATATAAGAAGCATAGAAAACGTCATTTTGATCGATATTACCAACTCTAAACATAATATCGCACCTTATATTTTATTTTTAATATTTAATTGTATACAAAAAATGTTTCTTTTGTAATTATTCCATCATACGGATATTACCTATAAATATTTCATAGATAAGATTATTTATTAGATATGACACATGCTGGTATCTAAAAACAGAGTTTCTTTCTTTACATATTCTTTTTCATATTCAGTATCACATTGATATCCAATATTGAAATATAATCTTTTTTCTCTCCTGTTTAGTTACTCTTCTTTTTCTTTTTCTTTTTCTTTTATATATATACACGTACATAGGCAGTATGTCATGTCATCACTATTGCACCAGATATATATCTAGACAAAAATGTAAATCAGAAGTAGTATTGATTGACAAATAGTATTCTCTAACTAGTATGCATCTGCTACTTTTTTTTTCCTTTTTTTTCTCTCTCCCTCTTTCGTTCTATCTTTTTTTTCTTCGTTCGACAAGCCTTGAGGTATGTGAAAAAGCAACACATCATAATATAAGATTGATAGAGAAGTGTGTACTCCGGAATAACATCTTAAAGATGATAAAGCGTCATTATTTGTCTTCTCTTTGACAATAGATCGATTAATATCGTACACTTATCTAACAACTGAAAATCTACTATGATTAACTTCAATGTATGGGGCAAGTCGAGAAAAGATATATATTTTTTAAGTATTTAAAATATTGTTAGGAATGACAAGAAATGTAACGTGTGAGTAACGTATAGAGAGATATGAAAGAGAGAGAGAGAGAGAGAGAGAGAGAAGATTGCTTTGCAATTATCTCGATATTTGACGAAGGTCATTGGAAACAGAACACGACACAAGACAGACAAAAGCACTACCAGTATTTGCTCGGTTTTTTTTGCATGCCAGAGCTTTATGTAAAGAAACTAGTAAAAAGAAAGAAAGAAGAAAGGAAAAAGAACGGATAAAAGAGAACACATAGCCATCTTTAGATCTATATGTAGCATCAAGCACATGAACGAAGAAAACATAGAAAATGACTTTTATTTTTACGCATGAATCGATGCTGTTATTTATGTTCTTCTATTCATTATTTTTTCTCATATAGTATGTCCGACAATGAAGTCAACTATAATTATCGTTCTACATGTAATAGTTATTCAACAGAGTACACACAATTTATTCTCAAGTTCTTTCTAATCAATTTCATAAATAAGAAAAAATTCTCTGTCGAAACAATGAATGACGAATAAAATTATAAAGATCATATTATAATGCATGGTAAACCAGTTGACACGATTGTTATTACTTCTGATACATTTGATCGAGTACCTAAGGACAGGTAATATATTTATATATATATATAATATTAAATGTAATGTTTTCTTTAAATATAGATGTTTTATAGTATACATATCATTTATTATTCATGGTCTTGGTTGTTTTCTACCATGGAATCTATTATTTCATAGCTACGAAGTAAATAATTTGTAATTTATTTCAAAATTTTGTTATGAATATTATTTCTTTCTAGTATTTTATTTGTTGCAAATTTCTTGGTGATGATTCGGATATCTATCGTCAACACTTTTTAAGTTTTTGTGCATTAGCTGCTATACTTGCAGCTTTAGTTACTACTGGTATCGGTTTATTTATTGGTTTTCAGTAAATATATATATACATATTTTGATTACAAAATAGAAAGTATTAATTTCAATAATATTTTTCTTTCATCATAGTGGCGATACAAAACGACGTATTGTACCATCGATTGTCGTACTTATTATTATGTTCATTTTACAGGTGCTATTCGCTGTATTTGATGCTCGTGATTGTAAGGAGTTTTTTTTTGTTCATTTATTGATTACATCTGTTTTCTTTCTATAGCCTCAGGTGTCTTCCTTTGTGTGACAATACTCAATATTGTAGTTATTGGAGGTATTATGAATATATATAATTGAATAGATTGTTTCTTCTACTTTTTAATTTATCTTTAGCTTTTATTGGTCTTTACTTGTCAAGTATTTCAGGCATTGTATCATACTTTCCTGATCGATATGTAAATGCAGTTGTTATAGGCACAGTAGGTGTGAAATCTAATATAAATATTAATTATTAAAAATCCGCTTGTTTTTTTTAATCAATATTTAGTCATTTGGAATATTGATTGCTATATGTAGTCGAGTTGCATTTAAATATTGTAAGTTTTACTTTGAAATTCTTGATAACATGTGCATAATTTTCTTAGATTCAAATGATGCAAGAGTTATTGCAATTTATTTTCTTGTTTCTGCTATAATTACGTTACTCGTTTGTTTCGATACCTATTTTGCTTTTCCTTATTCGGTTAGTAGAACAGTATAAAACAAAAAATATTTTTTCATTTTAAAAATATTTATTTTCATAGCGTTTATTTCGATTTTATCATACATCAATAAAAATCGATTTATTACATACAACAAAAGGACGTCTATTTCAAGTACCATATGGAAGTGTATTAAAACAAGTATATAGAGCAAAACTTTTGGATATTTTTATGATTTTTTAATTAATTTCTAGATTTGGATTCAATGTATATCTATATTTTTACATTATTTTTCGACAGTCACTCTTTTTCCGAGTATTCTCAGTCAAGTACAAAGTGCAGCACCAACATTTCTTCTTCCTAGTAAGATTAACAATTGTATTTCTATATATAAATGAAAAGTGTGTAGATCTTCAATTTATTGATGCAGTTGTTCTAATTAATTTTGGAATATTTAATCTTCTCGGAAATCTTTTTGCAGGTTGTGTAAAAAAAGTAAATTATTTATTGATTATTTTTCATTAATTTTTTGATATAATTTAGCCATATTCTCGATGGATTTTATTCTTCGTTTTTGTTCGTGCAATAGCAGTATTGTTTACATTTCTTTTTATTAATTTTGAACCATATTCAAGAAATAATTTACCAGTATTAATTCATGATGATCATATTTTTATGGGACTTGTCATGTTTTTTGCATTTACACATGGATATTTTAATTCAATGTTACAAATGTTAACAACAAAGTAGGATTAATAAAAGATTTTTTTTATCTGTATGTTTTTTTTTATTAAATTTTTTAGATCAGTAGAACCATATCTATCGGCTACATCAGCTGTTGTTTTACAATTGTTTATATTTGCTGGCTGTTTTTGTGGTATTATAGGTTCATTTGTATATCAATTTTTAGCAACATTGCTTTAATCTGTTGACAATACCAAATTTAATTTTTCCTTTTTGAATTTGTTTGACTTAATAAATCAAAAAAATAAAAATAAAAACTATAACTATAGCATGATAGTTTCTACAAATTAATAATCAATTATGTAAATACATTAGATTAGAATAAAAAAGAAAATAATTATGTCTTATTATATTTATGATATTCACATAATAATGGATGCAATGGTGATGGTCTTGTTGCTGATGGATGACAACATGTAATATTTGTATCATTAAACCATTTTAAACCTTGAGGTGTTTGAACAAATGGTTGATTAGGACCAAGTGTACGCAATCGTTCTAATATATTTTCGGAAAGAAAACTTTCTTTTTGACCATGAAAAATAAGATAAACTCCATCACAATAGGGTGAACATTTAGGTGCACTTTGTGATTGTTCATATTTCTCGATATTGGTTGAACCAAATGGATCATATTTACATAGAGTATGATTAGCTTTAGCTTTCCATAACATAACATTCATTCCTGTTTCATCACAATTTGCATTCGTAAAAGCTCCACGTTGCATTAGTTTTAAAAGATGACGAAGAAATGGATAAGCTCGATAAGTCCATACAAATGTTCCATGTATATATGGTATTGTTCGATATTTTACTTTATGATCTTCCATATCAAATTTATAGTTTCCTGGATCATCTGGATGTTTAGGTCCTAATGGAAGATCATATGGCCATACATGAAGCATATCGAAAAGTAAATCAATATTATAATTAACAACAGAATCAACTTCAAGTTGTACACCATAATTGACTTCACTAGAAATCATTGCTAATATTTTACATGCATATGTTGTTGGACCACATTGTTTATGTGATATACGTTCTATTGTAACACGTGGATGTCGTGTACGATTAATAATTAAATCAAAATCAATTGAAAATATGATTACTGAACGTGTAGAAAATAAATGTACAGAATCAAGTAGAACATTCAATAGTTCAATGTAATCTACTCGTGAAGTTGTAAAAGTAACAAAAGCTTCTTTTGGATAATGTGTTCGATTAACTACAGGTTCATTGTCTTCTTGAAAAAAATATGCTTTATAACTTGAGTAAGAAATAATCCATTGTTTGTAAATTATAAGAGATAATAGACATATTACAAAAAGTCGAAGGATAAATGATTTCTTTTCGAAATAAAATTGATTGATGAACATTTGTTTGTTACAAGCCAATGAAATATTCTGAATGTTTTTCTTTCACTGTACAAAATAGTATTTTTTTTTATTTGAAGAATTATTTACGAAGTTGAATTCACGTGGTAATGCATGTTAAAGAACAATAATATAAATATTCCTTTCTTTGCTTTTTACAGTGAAAGAATAGAAATAAATATTCAGAACATTTAAACTTCCATGGATTATTATAATTGTTTGTTCTTTGATGAAAACTATGTTTTACGATTTATATTTATAAGTTGGAGTAGATGCTTAACATTTCTATTTCAATATACTATTTGTTAAAAATAAACAAAAATAAATTTCTTTATTAGAACATGGAAAATCTTTCAAAAACAAAAAACTTTAAAAATATCAGAATAAATATGTTTAATGTATACTAATGCATTCTTTTGATCGGAACAATATATCAGCTTATAAATAATGTTCACATAAAAGTGGATGAAGAGGTGAAGGTTTGCTATCAGGATAACAACAAGTTGCACTGGTATCATTAAGATATTTCATACCACCCATACCAAGTGTTTGTATAGGTGGTTTACCAATATTTGCTTTCAGTCGAGTGAGAAGTGCAGATGAAACATTTGCTTCTTTATTACCATGTAGTGTAACAAATGCTGTATGACAATACCGTGAACAATTTGTAACATTAGGCCATCTTTCATAAATTTCAGAGTAAGTGAAAAATGGATCTAAAATAAACACAATCTCTATTAAACTGATTCACTGAACTAACGGAAAAGAGAAGTGACTAAATATTTTTTTCATATCTTACCATATTTACAAAGTGTATGATTAGCGCCAGCTTTCCACAGCATTACATTCACAGCAGTTTCATCAAAATTTGATCCGTCAAAATGGCCTTGTCGTAAAAGTGATCGAAGATGTGTCAAAAATGGTAGAGCTCGATAATTCCAAATAATATGAGCGTGAATATATGGCAACGTACGTTTTGTTACATTAAATACTCCCATATAATATTCGTAGTTTTGTGGATCATCTGGATGACGTGGAGATAATGGTAATGCATAAGGCCAAACATGAAGAACATCAAAAAGTACATCAACATTATAATTCACTACATCATCAGTTTCCATCAAAACACCATAATCGAGATTACTACTAACAATAGCATGTATTTTACAAAAAAAGACAGACTAAAATATAGTAATATATTGTCTGTGAAAAAAAATCTGTATGTTACCGGTCCACAATCAGTTTGTTTTATTTGTCTTTTAATAACACGAGGATATTTTGTGAGATTAATGTGAAGATCAACATCAATTCCAAAAGCTATAATAGGTCTTGTTGAAAAAGCATGAACAGAATCTAATAAAACATTGAGTACACCTAAATAGTGTGGATTATTATTACTAAATGTTACAAATGCTTCTTTTGGTTGTTGAACGGTATTCAAATCATTTGTAGTATTAACTTGAGTTGTACCAACAATTTTTGAAGTAGTGGTCATATCAGTAGTAATAATTGTTGTTGTTGTTGTTGTTGTGATTAATAAATTCTTCCGATTATAGCTAGTGAGTGGTGTTAAAATATAATTAGCCATTGCAACAGTAGAGTTCATATCAATTTTATATATAAATAAGTATGAGATAAAAAACAAACCAACAATAAAAAAAGTACGATATACTGTTATATGTTTGCAAGGCATGTCATTGTAAGAATAATTTAATATCGTCATTATTTAATGATGTACAATGTATCATTAAATATCTGCAACAAAGAAGATATTGTGTAGAATTAAAACTTCGAATTATATGATATCATATAAAAAAGGACTCATATTTAACTGAGCTATAATTCACTTAAATTGAAGCCAAGTATTTACTAAAACAAACAATATTATTGACTTTTTTCCGAAAAGTCAGATTTTGTGACGGAAAGGTCCCCCTTAACAATTATACGATTTAGACAGGCGATTTAATGTCAGTACGTGGTGCAATATATTTCTGACAGTGATATGAAACAAGAGCCTGCTTTTAATAAGCAAAAGATTAGAAGTCAACCAAAATGCGTTTCAATATTCACATACAGTAATAAACATGATGATATTAATAAAATAAGAAACGATGGTCTCTGTGATTTAAACTTGTAAATCAATGAACAAAATCTAGTACTACTTGCAAATGATTTAGATGCTATTAGAAATGCATTTTAAAAAGTATTTGGAATGGATTGTACTATCATTATGTGTTTGGTATGCGAAACCTATAGAAAAAAAGTTATGTTTATTAGAAGATAAAAATTTACAAACTGAAATCATGAATAATGACGATATATTACAATTGTCGAAAAATATTTGGAATTACTGTAAAACTATTGTTTAAAAAGTGAAACAATCGTAAGTAATTTATTCAATATTTCCCAAGTAAATGATTAATAGTCAAAAAAAGATACATAATTCTACGTCTATATTTGTATCGTTTAATTATGTTAAATAGATGATCGATCTTTCTAATAAAAACAAAAAGAAGAGAAACAAGAGAGTATTGCTTAAAATATTCTACTATAGGTAAAAATACCAGGATTTCGTTTATCCAAATAAACTTTCACATTTAATCAAAATACTTAAGTCTTCCTCTCTCAGCGAAATGTCAATGATTCAAAAATCTGACAAATTACTGTTTTTTTAATACTTTCGCATGATTAAATAGAACTCGTCAGCTTCTATGTGAACACTCCCATTAAAATCGTCTGAGCCTGTACGTTGAAGTAATATTTTCTAAAAGTCACCTTAGGTAGTCTATTCAAAAAACAGCACTTGAAATTCTCTACAATGATATGTATGACTGGGTTTGACCTGTAATTCGCTAATAATAAAAAATTGAAGCTTGTGAAAATATCAGAAAAAAACAAAAATGAACGTTTTTACATGCTTTTACAGTGTGATCTGAAAAGAATAAAACGAATTATATTCCTCATATAAAGTAAATCATTCTGTTTTTTTTCTATAATTTCAGCTTGAATGAATACTGAACATGAAATGAATAAGATATAGCAATGCTTTTAGAAGTATATATAATCAATAATTCTACTATTTGTATCAATCAAAATGTCATAGGAAAGAAATAGAGAAAAAAAGCTGCTCTGTTCCTATAGAAGAATGTATCAAAAAATGGTTAATACATCTTTTAGATTATTGTATGCATAGCTGAAAGATGAGATATTTTATAATAATGTTATTCATACTTCGTCAACTAAACTCATAAGGGTTTGAGTTCATATTTTGCTCATAGGTAGGGTGCATTGTGTAGATAAAAATCCTAAAAGGATTTATCCCCATGCTGCTTTTTTGCAGAGAAACAAGCGCAGCAAGTTTCTGTGTTTCTATTGAAAAAATTGTTTTTTGACATCTCAATAAAAGAATGTTTTCGCGAACTCTTTTTAACTGGTCTTGCTCATAGTTACTTATTACGGAAAAAATAGAAGATTATTGGTTAGTTTCTCTACTTAACGAGAAGAAACTGGAACATACAGCAAACGAAAGCGAAATAAACAATTAAGAAAATGATTAATTATTCTAGTGGTAATGATAGTTCCAGTAAAATAGTGAAGTACAGTTCTAGTTGATACGGAATACTTTATTTGATGTCACGTTAGATAATACTTTTGACACATTATGAAGATTAATCATTTACATTCTTGATAAATATAAATGATTATGTATTAACTTTGTAATGATAGATGATTACTAATTAATAGTTACTCAAAAAGAAATATTATTCTATTACTTGTATGAAATGTTTGCTGTTTCAAGCGACGGATATATGTTTACAAGAATACTGAAGTGGAAAGAATTTACTAGATAGCAGCAAGGTGAAGAGAACTTAACAGAAACTTGCTGCGCTTGTTTCTCTGCAAAAAAGCAGCATGGAGATGAATCCTTTATGGCTTTTATCTGCACTATGAACCCTACCTATAAGTAATGTATGAACTCAAACGGAGTGTATCAGTTGGTGAGATTCCCTCGTCAGGTGTATCTTTCATAAGACATTGGTAGAATTTTTAGAAATGTATTTTATACATGGATGATATACTTAAAAATAATTGACGATTAAAACTATTCGTTTCTCATTCTCTTTTCTAAAGTGTACATATACAAAATAACCTTTTATCCGAACCTAGTGAGTGCACGATTATATTTTGACTTCTTCTTCTACAAAACTTCTCCTATACGAAGTGTAATGAAATCTATTTCAATTCAGCTAGATTAGAAATACGGCAATATTGAATAATCACAACAGACGCATGTTAATCTCATATTTGCCAGATAAGAGAAGTAAATATTTAATCACATATGATAAGTATATTAAATAGTATAGGTAGTTATTAATTTTTATCTAACATCTGTATCATCTTTAGTTTTTAAATTTCGCAAAATATATATTGACAAGAAAAGAAAATATATCAAGATGTAAAGATGAAACGCTAATTACTCGATTGTTTCACCTATATTGATTCTATAAAAATATTATTTTTTAGTTATTCGGGAAAGAAAAATATCGGAGACTTACCTGAATAAAAAAAAGATATTTCTATTGACTAAGTAGATCCTCGAGAATTTCTCTTAAAATCGATGCATTCAAAACATGTTTCTGACGAGAAACGAACAATTCATTTTTGATTACTGCGTCGTACAAGAATAGTATATGTTTATTAAAACTGAAACAATTACAATAATATTAGTACACGTGTTTTTATAAATTTACATTGATCTTTCTATATTTCATATTCATGAAATAGTCGTTTTTCTATAAGAACATGGTTCACGGTCTTACACTGCTTTATATTTAAATTGTTTTGATATGCGTATATAAGATTGAATTTCACGTTATTTCTATCAGGGTTCCGAATGGTAAGTGTACACAGTAGAAGAAAAATAGGTGAAACACTTGCGACTTTTGAAATACACGCTGTCTTACACGTTGCTAGTGAAAATAAAATGTACACGGTACACTCTGCGAACAAAATTAACACTTTGTCTTCTTTAAGCCATAAATTGATTTCTTTTCTGTTTAAATTTAAATGGATTGATTTTGATGAGAGTTGTTCAAGATGGTTATGCGATTATTGTAGAATTAAACTTAGTATAAAAGTTAATTCAATATGGTTTTGTGATGATGATATAGATATGCATCATCAAGAAAAAGAAGACGAAATTGATAGTGAATATAAAAATTTTGATTGATTTGTTACTAATGTTAATGTTATTTTTTTCTCGAAATATTCCTATTCATGTCAGATTACATAATTGTGTGCGTATTAATTGTGTATTTAGTATTATTCAGTATGCATTTGTTTTACATTCTTCATTAACAAAAAATATGAACACTTTCTATATTTCAAAATTATAATTAAATTCAATTTATACACTTTGGTACACTCTGCTTTCAAAAACATAGTGTACAGAAACAGTTTGTTAGGTTAAACAAAGTATACCGAAACATTTTTCTTCTAAATTCTATTCGGAACCTTGATTTCTATCTCATTCTGCTCTTTGAATACAATCCATTATTCTAGTGAAATGAATCTACCTGGTATTATACTATTTGACTTGCGTGACACATGTTCGTCGGAAAGAGAAGGAAGAAAACAATTATAGTCTTAAACAAATATTTATAAAATATATGATTGTTAGACGTTCAAAAGATATCTTACAGTTATAGGATTACTACATTTAACAGATACGTAAGTATTATTTTTAGTAAATATGAATGCTACTCTTATATCTATATTGAAAATCTTCGATTCATATTTAAGTAGACATATTAATTTTTAGATAAAAAAAAATAAAGTTAAAAAAATCTATTAAAGCTTTCTTTTCCAATATTAATTATGATTAAGTTGCATCCATTGCACTAACTGAATTAATGTAATAAATACTACATGTTTATAATGCGCAGATCTATTGACAATAACAAAAGGCCTGACAAATGTTGCTTTTCTTAGTTATAAAATTCAATACAATGTTGAAGGACATTCAAAGATAGAATAATGAAGAGAAACTAAATTCTATTATTTTCTCCGATTCAAAATGTCTGTAAGTAAATATTTTTTTTTAAGAAGGAAATTTTGTTTTTTTCTATTGCCTTTTCATGTGCTCACGAGTCTTTCTGATTATAGAGAAAATAATAATAAGAATTCAAATAAAAACGTGATGTATTGTCTTGCAAAGTTTTCTATTACATAAAAGAATTCTAGACATTTATTTTTTAAATCCCGAACATCAAAACTTCACTATCGTCAGATACAATTTTACATAACCAATGCTTACCTTTTATATAGATAAACTTTATTGAGAATGTTAATCCATTTAATCGATCGTAATATGATCTATAAGATAAAAATATTATTTTAATTATTTGACATTATATTTTTCTGATCGAAATACAGTCATAAAACTAGAATAGAGTAAGGAGAATTAAACTTCTTTTTTTCTTCTAAATCACATGAAAAAAATCTTTTTTTTTTGAAAATTTTCATTTCTGGTAAACAGAAACTCCTATGTACATACAACTTACTTCATCTACTATGACAAAAAAAACTACTGCAATACAAATGCATAAAAAATAAGGTAAAATGAAAAGAGAAAAGAATGAAAAACAAACAAACACACAGGCCATCAAGCATTTTTGCGTTTCTCTACTGATTAGTCAGCTATCTACAAAATTTATTTCTATCAAATAAATCCTACAAGAAATTGTATTTTACAAGTTTACATTAATAAGAAGAAAAAAAAGAACCTTTTTTGTTTCGTCGATATATGGCAAATTGATAGAAGGTATATCGTGCTTCCATCCTTTTTTCTTTCACCACTATTGATAATGAAATAGCAATATTCATATGAAGAAAAAAAAATAAAGCGATAAATAATAACTATAATTGATAAAATCTGTTTATGTTGAGTACTTTGTCCTATTTCAAAGATATATTATCATTTTTGCAATATTCTATAAGAAAAAAAGTTGATTACAATCGAATAAGTTGAACTTTGACATTGAAGTATTATTAGGGGTGCTTTATTACATGTTTTTTTGTTTTTTTACACTTTACTGCGGATTACAAGACATACGAATCATTATCTACAACTATTATGCATCCTTAGTGACTTGCATGTCTTATGATCCGCAGTAAGATAAAGAAAAACTCAGACAAGTAATAAAGCATGCCTAAGTATTTTATGTATTTATCTTCGGAGTACATTTTATATGTCAATCGAAAATGTTCAAATAGAACTCAATAGAGAATAGAAAGATCAACAGACACAAATAACTATTCTTTTTTTATTCGATGAGTTCATGTTTAATATTAATTTACAGAATTGCTTCTAGCGCTTACTATTCTTAAACAATATATAAATTATTCTTGAATTCTTCGTTAATAAATATAAGATATGTAAAAGTAAAAATTAAAGATGAATGATAAGAATAATAAGTATACAATAAATAATTTGTTATTTATATATTGAATAACATTCTTATAGATTTTAACTATTATTACATGGTATTAAATGAAATATAACAAATTTTATCAAAATGTTTGGTCGAAAGATCAAAGACAAAAAAAAATCTTTAAATCGACATATGATAGATAGTTATGTTTGCTTTTCTTTCTTTCCTTTTTATTGATTATGATGTCAAATCATATCTATTACAACTTATCGATACAATGATTGTGTACTAAAGGAATTAAATGATGAAAGACAATGTAAATATTGCTCAAGGAATATATTTTAATTAATAGAAAGAATTTGAAATAGTTTTACCTTTTATAAAAGTTTATGAATATGATATCCGAAATATTGTGTGCCTATCAATCACATAAATTGATTTTTAAAATTTAAATATTCTGTTTTTATTATTATATATATTCCATGGTTAAGATGATCTGCGCCTCTTCATTTATTTCGTAAATAAAAGACATTATCTCTTTTATGTAGTAATTAGCATTTATATTTTGTGATTTCATGTCTCTTGATGATTTGTTTTTGAGTAAATATATTGAATATTTTACAGTGATTTTTCTTAATGTTGCTGATTGTCGTGCTGATTAATCCCTGTTCTGGAAATGCTTATTTCCTTTATCATGATTAGTGGAAATTGAGGAAATTGCTCAAAAAAAACATTGATCATAATTTGCTAGCTATTTAAGCATCAGGTGAATGTTAAGATAGGTCTAATTGAAAGAAATTTGTTATTAACAACAATACATAAACATAGGTATATGTAGCTACTGAGAGAGGAAGACATCTGTTTCTAATGAAAGTTGTTTTTTTACGTCTAGACGAGAATATGCTTAATGGAACACTAAAAATAATTAACAAAGATCTTCAAAAGAATGTTCAACCTGCCAAATGGTTTTATTCATTTGAAATAGAAGAAATTGCCTTCGTGTATCTCACACTAATTAACGTCACATATTCATATGTAAAAATAATGAATTGCGTTTGATAGTCGTACTCTTTTCTGCTATCTTTATTTTCTTTGATCAGAGGTATGCTTTTACTTTCTTTATCAACAGAAATTGATCATTCAAAATTTGGTCTTGAACAGGTTAATAATTAAATCATGCTTACCTTCTGTTTATTTATATTATTCTCATTAATAGTATTGATATCCAAGTGTTTATTTTACTATAAATAATGAAAGAATTACAAACTTGTGTTAGTTATTATTTATTTAATTTTTAACTAAAGATATGACAGTGATTTTTAATTAAAAAAATGATTGACTGATAGTGACAATAGTTTCAAAAGAAATAAAAGAAAATCACTGTAAAGGTTTTGCTTGGCAACTGTCTGTAGAAATGGTGAACACGTCAATTTCTGAATAGACAAACAATATATAGAACACGATGCCGAACGCACGACAAGAAGCCAGTCTTACACAAATTCGTCGATTACTCTCTCGTTGGGATCAAGGTAAATAATTCAATGATATTATTAATTTTAACTTTTTCATATATAGGTTCAACTAAAGCTCGTCGTCAAATTTTACTTGACTTTATTGAATTACATAAATCAATAACTGAACCTGAACTTGAAACTGAATTTGCTCAATCGGCTAGTTTATTTTTTACTCGTATTAGTAAGTTATTTTGTTAATTTATAATTCTTATATTTCTATTCTATGAAAATATAGCTTCATGGTTACGTATAACTTATCTTTTTGGTACATGTTTAAATGAACAATTGAGAGCACTTCGTGTTTTTTTACAATCATCAACAGGAAATAAATTTCTTAGTGAATTTCTTGATGTTGGTGGTCTATTTACACTTCTTGAAATACTCAATGTTAATCAAATTAAAGATGAAGATAAAAGACAAGCTGTAAATATTTAGAGAGAAAAAAAAGATAATTTTAATTCTTATTTATTTTGAAATATTTTTCTAGTTAGAATTATTAAAATTAATTGCTGATAATGGTCGCGTATATAAAGAATTAATTTGTCAATCATATGGTATTCGAGCTATTGCTGAATGTATGGCAAAATCAACAACACATGAAAATACACAAAAATCAGCACAAATATTACTTGATTCATTAGCACTTGGAAATCCATTATATATTCAACAAGTATATAAAGGTCTTATTGCTATTTTACTTTCAACATCAGCAAAAGCACAAGAATTAGCTGTTTCTCTTCTTTGTAAACTTCAACCTCAATTAGAAAGAGTTCATGGAAGTTTACTTGAACCAGTTGTTAATCTTCTTCAATCCTTTCATGCTGAAGTTCAATATCAAGCGATGGAATTTATAAAAATTCTTATGTCAAAGGATTGGAATGATGAAAATACAGCAGCCATAATAGCTCAACTATTAATTAATTGTTTGAAAGATTCATTAAATCAAGATAAAACTGACATTGATGATGATGAGGAAGAGGAGGAAGTTGAAGAAGATGATCATGAAGATAATAATAAACTAATTGATTCACTTAAAGGTGGTCCTATGCCAATATTTATTCAACAAGCAGCTATATGTAAATGTATTCGTTTACTTACTAACCAACGTGATCGTTTTTTACGTTTAAATATTGTTCATCTTTTATTATGTGTTATGGGCAATGAATCTTATCCTGAGAGTCAACGTCAAGCTTCATTAACTCTTCATTTTTTTGTGGAAAAATATTCAAGTGTTTATGACGTAGTATTCGAAGCTCTTGGTGAACAATTATTTGATATGTTCTATCGTGATCCTGATGGATTTTATTCAGAGATGAATTCTATTCAAGCTGATGTATGTCGATCGAATCGTGTGAATATGTCTTCTGAGTAATAATATTATTTCGAATTGAGTTTTTATTAATTTAAATAAAAAATAAATAAATTTAATTCGAACAACATTTGTTGTAATCGTTTATTATTTAATTCTGTTCTAATATTTTTTTCATTAGGTAGTTCCACCAAATTGGCTTCACTAGAAAGAATTGCTAATATTTTACATGCATATGTTGTTGGACCACATTGTTTTTGTAAATAAATATACAGAATCAAGTAGAACATTCAATAAGTCAATATAGTCTTCTCGTGAAGTTATAAAAGTAATAAGAAATAATCCATTGTTTATAGATTATAAGAGATAACAGACATATGAGAAAAAGTCGAAGAATACATGATTTTCTTTCGAAATAGAATTGATTGCTGAACATCTTGAGGGTGAGTGTAGGTGTGGGTGTGAATGTATTGTATTTATCTCACACCCTCAAAGGATAACAAACTCATCTAAAACTGAATATATGAGAAAAAGATTTAATTGAAGAAATGATTGGTCTAAAATGTAAACCGTCTATTGTTAAAAAGAAATGAATCTCAATAAAAAGTTAAGTTCGATCATTTTTTTTTAAACTGTCCAAGCTCGTGCATATCATAGTAGTGACATCCATACAGAAAGGAAACATTTTTTGATTTCAAATCTCTATGATTATGTTTAAAAAAAACTGTTTAGAAATTATATTTAGCCTTTAATTCTCAAAGAATCGTTTTTCTCTCTATAACCACGATAAAGCCTAATTTAATCACCGATATCTTTGAGAAATATGATTCATATCGATTTTCACGACATGGTTCTCTTTTATATGAGAATACACAAAAATCAAACATTAATCAAAATTGATCGAAACTCCTTCACTGATCTTAATTCAAACGTAGATTTTTAAATATAAAATATCTCGAATAAATTCTCTATTATCACTGCACGTATTAATTAGATTGCATGTTTTCAATCCTATATAGAACAAGGCAGATGAAATCCTATAAAACCATATCATTCTTTTCTTCGTTTATTGTTATTGGTGTGTTTTTATGATAATGGATTGTATTTGCTTTTTTACTTTTAATTTTCATGTACATGAATAGGCATGACCCAAACCCAAACTCATATTCAAACCGTTTGGGAGTTTGGGTTTGGTTTAATGAGTTTGAGTTTGGGTTTGGGTTTGGATATTGAGTTTGAGTTTGGGTTTGAGTTTGAGTATAAAGTTTGGGATAAGTTTGGGTTTGGGTTTGGGTTTGGTGGTCAAAGTTACTAAAAATCATGAGTGTGAACATAGGTTTATCTATATTGCTTTATTTGTCCTCAATATTTGCTTTTTATCTATAGCAACTAAGCAAAAACAAATATAGTAAACGTTTGATAGGCTATATTTGGCGATGCAAGAACAAGAACATGAAATTGTATCTAAAACATATGTATAACCATCACTTTGTTTTGTCTGATATATTGTCTGTGTGAGTGTGATTGGCTTGAGAATGGTTTGAAAAAATTGAAAAGTAATTACTCTAGCAAGCACTCTATTATCTCATTTACATAATAGGTCTGATATTTGCTGTCAATATATGTACATAAAACATACAAAAATATAATTATAGTACATATTTTAAAAATAACTTGTTGTTAAACAAACTGCTTTTATCGAGAAAAGAATTCTTAATTTTTTTCATTCAAAATCCGTTGTTATCCGTTGAAACTTTACGATAAGTAAGTTTTAGACGAGCTGATGCTATATTCAATCTAATATTTAGCTGTAAAAGTCACAAGATTGCACTTTTATGTTTAATAATTCGACAGAAAAGTAAAACTAATGGTCGCAATACTTTTTTCTATATACTCGATGTAAATTTAAATGGATATGCAACAGTCAATGTAAAGAAATAGCTTTATTTATAGTTTGTATTCTAACGATAAATTCTGTTTCGATTGCCTAGAAGATAACAAGGTATACGAAACCGTTATATATAATTAATTTTGTTTTGAAAGTTTAGAAGATAATATAGTTCGTTGAAACAAGCAACATGATGTTAAAGGAACATCTCTCTCTTTTATTATAAATGGCGTATTTTTCGTATATTATCATTTTTTTCTTTCCTTTACTATATACAACAAGCATCATGATGTCAAAGGAACATCTTTCTCTTTTATTATACATGGCGTATTTTTCGTATATTATCATTTTTTTCATTCCTTTACTATATAAAAAATCATTAGGTTTAATTAATTTTCTTTTGTATAAATTTGATCTTCTCATTTCTTAAAAATGAACCTACGTCGTCGTACCATCGATTCTCGTTCACTTATATCAGATAATGAATTAAGTCTTGATCCACTTGATTCGGCATCATCTATTTCTCCATTAACAACAACAACAGCAACAGCAGCAGCAACAACAACAACAACAACAGCAACAACAACTGCTGATTTATTAACAACACCATCTAATGATGTATTACTCGATGTTACATTGAAGGCAAGTGTTTGGGAACACTTCGAACGGCTTATTGGTGTTGTACCTTTAACAGCAAAATGTTCGATTTGCGAAGAAAACTTATTAACACCGAATTATGGGACATCAAGTCTTCGTCGACATTTATTTCAACGACATGGTCTTCAACAATTTGGTTTAAATGAAACACCACAACCGTGTGTAGCTACTCATCGTTTAACAAGAAAAGAAAAAGAAAACCTAGATGCTTTAGCTGTTGATGCTATAATTCAAGATGGAAGAGCGTTTGGTGATTTCCAAAAATCCGGTTTCAAAAAATACATTAATGCTTTAAAACCTGGTAAGGATTGATTTGATATATTTCTATGATAGAAAACTCACACTGTTACTAGTAAATTTGAATCACTTAAAGCTGAAACTCCTAGATTTTGAGGTTGAAAAGGATCCTATCAAGGATATTTAAAACTTGATTCCGTTGTTAAAAATTCCGAATAATTGATTTTTAACATTGGTTTTACTTTGTTCTAGGATATAAACCACCTACTCGTAATTATATTGTTAAAAAATTAAAACGTCTACATCAACAGCATACAAATTATACTGTTACTGAATTTGAACAGGCAGACTTTCTGTCTGTGACGTGTGATTTTTGGACAAATCGCCAACAGAAGTCGTTTTTAGTCATCACTGGTCATTTTATAGACAAAGACTTTAATGAACATTGCAAAGTGTTAAAATTTATTACTTTCGAAGGACGACATTTCTCAAAACTAATTGCCGAAGTAATTGAAAAGGAATTAATTAGCTTAGGATTATTTAATAAATTAATAACAATTACTTGTGATGGAGCGGCAAATATGCGCGACATGTTCAACTATTTTAATCGTCCACATATTACATATATTCGTTGCATAGCGCATAAACTTCATTTAATTATTTGTAACAGCTTAAATTTATGGGTGAAAGAAAAGAAAAATCGAACTACAACAGCTATGGCAGAAACTGTTGAATACGACTCAAGTGAAGATAATGATGAAGATGATCTACCAATTCGATTAACTCAAATGATAAGAAGCATGTCCGTTGATGTTGATTATATATCAAGTGAAAATAGTTTATCCAAAGTAAGATATAGTTTTCTATTGATTTAAGTTGTATCTGTTATTTAGTACATATAAACAATAAAAAACGAACTAGTGAGTTAACTAAATTTCTGTTACCCCAGATTTTACTTTTACATCATTTGTTCACAAGATCCCATATAAGTTTTAAAAGAGCATTATTTTCTCTACTACTATAAATATATTGATTTAAGGCGCTATATATTTGTTGGTCGCTTATAAGTTAGATATGTTCAAAAATTGTAATAGAAAAGACAGCAAAATTAGTTCAAAAGACTACTTCTAGATTTATTTCACTTGTAAACTGCCATCGATTGAAACTTATAGTATCATGATATTAAAAATAAAGTGCACTTCTAGAATGTAAAAAGAAACTCAATTAATCATTAATAGTAGGATTAATAATAGATGAAAAACATAATAAGTTTTTAGTTGACAAGAGATTACTAGAAAACTGACCTATGCAATCAAGCTAGCTTTTTAAAGTTCCATCACAAGTCAGTTTTGTATTATTAATATTATAATTCAATTTTCTATATAGAATGGTGATGATAGTTCGAATGAACCACAATCTGAAAATGAATCAACTGATGTATCATCCGATGAAGATGAATGGATTGATTCTGATCATGATGAAGAAATTATTGATAATTTCATTGAAGGTGTTAATTTACAAGATGTAGTATTAGATGATTTACAAACACGAGTTAAAAAAGTTGTTCATATAGCACGTGAAATTGTTAATACAAGTAAACGTACAGCAATATTATCAAATTTTCTTGAAAAAAAACGGATAAATTATAACTTACAAGTTCCTAAAGATGAACGTATTAAACGTCGTTTATCGAATGATGTGAAAACACGTTGGAACTCCAGCTACAAAATGTTATCTACAATCAGTATGTATCGTGATTTAATTAGTGATATGTTCAAAAACAAAGGAAATATTGATCTTACTAACAAACAGCGAAAAAAATTAGCAAGTATTGAATTAACAACTGATCAATGGGATCTAATAAAACTACTTGTTACTTTATTACAACCATTTTATTCAGCTACAAAAGTATTAAGTAACAATACATATCCAACAATTGGTTCTGCTTTATATCTCATTCGTAGTTTAGAAGAAAATTTGGTAGAATTAGAAAGTAATTTAACATTAAATGCATTAAAAGCCAAGGTGTTAGAAAAATTTCAGTATTATTTGACCAAAGATACAGATCAATTTAATACATTAAAAGTAAGTAGAACCTTATTTAATCCTATTCTTAAATAGTCTTAATTTGATGTAGATGTATGGGTTTTTTGATCCAACTGGATTAGCTGCTCTTACTAAAGTCGAACAAACTTCGGTTGAAAAACAATTAACACAAATTTTCAAAAAAAGCTTTGTACCAACAGCATCATCGTCGACATCATCATCAGGAGCTGCATATACGGTACCAAAATCTAATAATATTGACAAAGCATGGGAAGCGTTTCTTAAATGCACCAACAAAGAATTAGAACAAGAAGTAACAACAGCAACAACAACTTCTATTCAAGATGAATTTAAACGTTATAAAAATCTAGCAACAAAATTGTACGCATTAAAATTACTTCTCTAAACATTAAATTTATAAGAGTATCATTTTTTATTAGTTTAAAACCAATTTTAATAATCAGTTATTTCTATTGAGAATAAACAAAAATTAATTTTATTCTTTAGTTATATTTATATAAAGAAATAGTTATATGAACAGTTACTTATGTCTACATTTACCATAAACTTTTAATATCCTATTATTAATAGATATTTATTAATGTAGATAAATGATGATTAATGTTTATTTATAAATATAAAGCATGAATAAAATTAATCTGTATTTGATTACAATACAAATATGTGATTATTTAATTTAATTGTAAATGAAACAAAATATAAATAGAAGTTCATATAAAATTAAGAGGTGATATTTTTTCTGCCCAATACGAGTTTTTAACATCACAGTCTAATATCCTTAGAATCAAATAGTATCCAGATTCAGCTAAGATTTCATCTTCTTTCTTGATTATGTTATGCTGGTTATGCTCCTATATACATGCTGGCTTCCACTGAAGCAAAAAAGTTAGGAAACTCCTCTACTTTATCAGAAGACTTGTAAAGCCAGACAAAATAGATTCTATTGAAGTATATATTAATAAGAGGTGGCTGACATTACTTAGTCATTGCGGTATTATTTTGTCTAACATTTATTTCGTTTCATACTTATTTCGTTTGTTACTTATTTCGTTTGTTACTTATTTTGTTTGTTACTTATTTCGTTTGGCACTTACTGTTACACTTTATTTGAAATGAAAAAAATAAAAAACATCTTAAATTAAAATATTTTTGTCGATGATACCTAGTATTAGTTATCAAACTTGGAAATTTAGTAATCTAATTTCTGCAGAATTATAATCAGAAACACAATGAACTACTTTCATAAAGAATGAGAAGAAATTTATAAAATTAATTCTATTATGTGAATACTTATTTACTATTAACATATGTCACGTAGTATAATTTACTAAATGTAAAAGACAAATGAATGGTAGATGTTAAAAATACAATTGGATGTCATAATAATTTAGCAACAAATTTCAATATTATATATATTTATGTGCAAATATGTATAGTGAGAAAGAGAGAAGTGATGTTAAGGTATCTGCCATAGTTTTTTAAAGCTATCATAGTAGTATCAACCTCAGTACTCGAGAATGATGAAACTCTCAATTCATATTTCCGTATGTCATTTTTTTTATAAAAATTAATAAAAAATTCTAATCAAAACCCAAACTCAAACCAAACCCAAACCCAAACTATATACCCAAACTCAAACCCAAACTCAAACTCATATACCCAAACCCAATCCCAAACTCAATACCCAAACCCAAACTCACCAAACCCAAACTGTTTGGGTTTGGGTCATGCCTAAGTATTAGTTGCTGGCGGAACTACTGGTAATGGTTATCTCAATAGTGCTGAATTGTACAATCCATCAACAGGCACTTGGACAACTACAGCAAACATGAGTATCGCACGATATTATCACACAGCATCCAAATTAGCAAATGGATTAGTATTAGTTGCTGGTGGATACAATGGCGGCATTCTCAGTAGTGCTGAGCTCTATTAATCTATATAGACAGAATGACATTTTCTTTTTTGAATTGAATCATAATCTTTTTTTATATGTAATCAAACTATTTAATCATTCACATTTCTCAATAAATTATCATTCACCAAATACCATATGAGTTACAGTAATATCTTGAAGTTACATTGTATGGTGGTTGTTGAAAAAGAGCCATATGATTGATGAAAGAGTGATCATTATTATTACAACTGAGTGGATACAAATACAGATATGAAAAATATTAGTCATTTGTTACTTCCGGCCACATATATCCGAATGATAGCATAAAAATAATTATTCTAAAGTGAATATCAGAAATGAATAACTCAATAATATGTTCAAACAAATCAATTGTTTTCATCCACACCCTTTTTTGTCAAATAGTTTGATCAGCTTAATTGTTGTATTTTAGAAAATGGACATATTAATTTATGTTCCTGTTATGTTCATAATTCTATAAAGCGATTGATAGTCTTAACAAAAAAACAAAGCATATTGTGGAGGAACTACTACTTATTTCTGACTAAATCAATGGAAAAGAAAATAGAAGTCATATTATTGAAAGTGAAAAAAGACGAGGGAGAATGTGAATCAGTATTCTCTTCTAAGTGTATTTATAGTTACACTTATGCAGAGAAATTTATTTCAATCACAAGATATATCTCAAATAAATTGATATCATAAGTCACAAAATAAAAAGACAACAAACACAAAAATAATCTACAGAAAGAAGAATGAAAAAAGTATCTGATTAAATCGATGAAATCTTTTGGTTGGTCGAGAATTTATAGAATAACATATCACTTTATTCCCGATGTTCATTGTTACAAAAATTTTGTTTTTGGACGCTTCTCATGTTTATTTTAAAGAAGTTGAATAATTCTATTGGTGCCTTTTTGTAGGAATATTCTCTCGAGAGAATATGTTGCAAACATGACAAGATGTATAAAACTTGTTGTTTTTTTCGATGATCTTCTCTAATTCAATTTCTCTCAGAAGAATTATCTTATACATCTTCTCCTTATTCTTATTTGTATCGATAATAAATATCAAAAAAAATCTATTATTTCTATTCTTCATTCATATTTTCGTTTTTTGTTATAATTTTATCGATGAAGTTTATAACTAATAAATAACTTGGCTCATATTCAGTTACGTAACAGGTTCGATTTAGTTTATACATTTGCTGATGGTAACGCGAACAGTGCCGGTCTAAGTACTTCAAGCCCTTGTATTAAAGGCGAAAAGAATTTCTAGTTAACTTGCGAATCATAGAACACTTATTTCAAAAATTTTGTGACGAGTGCTATTAGTTTGTTAGTGAACCAGTAAAGTATAAATTGTTTACTTTTATGTACTAAAACAAATAATTCGCATGATATTTTATTGATATCACATATAGTTGTATTTCAGTATAATTAAGCTTTTCATACTTAACTTATATTATTAGATAGTTTAAGACATCAATAGAAACAGATAACAACAACTACCATTTCAGAACAGTTGTAATAGAATAATTCAATTTTAGATTTCCAAAATTCTGTATATACATGACAGTCAATGATGTACTTATGATTGACGTATTTATTACAATATTTACTAAAAATAACATTCATAAACACAAACAAAAGCACAATCAGATCATATAAGACATGCATACATTTTTTTTTGTCTAATTAAAATATAATAAACTGCGAATATAATTAATATTTTGAGAAGAAAGTTAATGAATCAGTTTTTTCGTGATGGATTAATACCAGTTGTATTTATTTGTTTGGGTCGCCATGAATCATTGAATAATTTCATCAGTTCATTTCGAAAGAGTTTGCTTGATAAAGTAAACAAATAAAAACTCATACAAGGAACTGAAAGAGATACAAAATTAGCGATACTTGAGAACAAACTGTCCTTTGCTGACTGTACAGCATCTACTGTCACATTTGCTCTAACTGATGCATAAATATATTGAACAGAAGGAAGGCTTGCCGTTAAAATAAATACAATACATTGAGCAAACATCATTTGAATTAGTTGTCGATCTGTTGCCTTTCGTCGTCGTTGTTGTTGAATTTGAGTTTGAGTTAGTGTTTGAATACTATTTGGTGCAATGCGTCCGACTGACTGGCGAACATTTTTCACAGTGCCTAGACCAAAATAAAGCATTGCGATTGGTGGACCCAAACTAAATTCAACTAAATTCCATACTCCAACAAAGGTTTGATATATGCCTGGTATCGGAACGCATGTTTGTTGACGTGTATTAATTTGATAGTAGATGGGCACATGAATATATCCGAGACCAACTATTAGAATTGCAAGAGGAATAGTGCGATAAGTAACACGAAGACTACTGAAGCCACGAAGGGTTGTAGACGCTGAACTGCATAAAAATCTAAAGAAAATAAATTTCAATACAACTAACGAGGAAAACTTTTGAGGTGATACCTCCCGTTTTTATTCATTCATATCTCATTTAGTTAAGTATATTGAGATAGTAAAAACCCTAGAGAGGATTTTCCCCATCTCAATATACTTAACTAAATGAGATATGAATGAATGAAAACGGGAGGTATCACCTCAAAAGTTTCCCTCGTAAGGCAATGGTTTGTATTTCATTGTTTAAATCTCGAAAAAGCTAAAGATAGTATACATAGGTTATGTCTATGTTTGAATAGTTTTATGAATAAACTAAAGTATTTCATACTAAAAGTATGATTATGAATTGATATTAGTACTATAACTTACCGATCGGCACAGGCCATAGCAGTGAACCATGCATTTTGTGCTCTATAAAAGTGAATGAAACACTGATTAAAATTTCATGTGCTTATATGCATATATACTATTACCTGGTCCAATTCAGAAGCAATGTAACAATTTTACATACTATGATTGAATTTGTAAAAACATTTATATTATATCGGAGCTGCAGTAATCGTAAAGGTATAGTAATCATAACGACACAAGAGCCACTGATTGTTGATGCCAAAAAGTATCTTGAACATGGATTTGAGCGAAGTACTGTACGTGTAAATACATAGATACTTAGTGTATGACCAATAATGCCAAAAGTGAACATGGAATAACACCAGATTTGATAAAATATTATCCCATCTGCTTTAATAATATCAGCTTCAGTGGTGATTGTATTTGAGGATGACATACTTTTAAATTATGCTAGTTAACCAAAACAAGATTTTTCCGAGAATGTATTAATATAAAAATGTTCTCTATAGAAACCCAAACCTATTCGAAATGAAATTAATTTTATGCTTTTCTGGGCATGAAAGTTAATTAAGATTTTCTGTCAGTAAAATATAAAGGATCCTTCATTTCTTTTTTTTAGTAATTTTTAATAAATATCTCGTACTTCCGGTGTTTTCATCTTAGAAAATCAAATGCGAAGTTGCGAGTAATAAACTCGCTAAATCAAGAAAATGATCTTAAACGTGAAAATTTAGAAATGATATGAAGAGAAACCAATATTTCGTCATGTTAGATTGATTTTGTTATACATACTGAAAATATTAGACGTTTTTATTTTAAGAAATATTTA